TATAAGCTGTTTTATGGCGAACTATTCTGCACAGCCTGTCTCCAATTTAACGCATACTACCTGGAACTAGCCACTCACTCACTAGACATCCTTTATAACCTTGAAATGACTTGTCAGTTATCCTTCCTGACTATTATTATTATTTCCTTTAATTCCTAGAGGAACATGGGGCTTCAGCCAAACGTCTTCATTGCCTTCTGTTTTCTGCCAACTTTTTCACCCCGCTCCAAGTCTGTCCACATGCTTTCATCTCCTCTTCACATCACCTCCTCCAAGTCACCCCACCCTCGCACTGACGACCAAGTCGCCGCTCCCCTTTCGGGTTCCACTCAAGCGATGGCTTGTCTAGTGATGTCACTTGATGGTTTCCTCAGAGTATGGCCAGCCAATCCATCTCCATTTCTTCCTGCTTAGTTGTTTTACAATCGGTTCCTGCTGAGTTGGTTCGCTCATTGCCAGAGATCCGTGTAGCTGATGTTTTCTGGCTGGCCATCTGATTTTGATTATTGAGCGAAGACAACTGTTAATGAAGGTCTGAAGTTTGTTTGAGATGCTCTTTATGACGCGCTGGCCAAGTCTTTGATCCGTATGCAGTGGCACTGACTGACTTCATATTGGAGTTGAAAATGTGGGTGTTTTTTTTGATGGTGAGTAGTACTGTTGACCTCCACACAGACTTGAGAGTAATGAAGCTTGTCTTCGATCTTTTTTCGATCCTGGCTTTGATATCCTCGTCAGTTCCGTCCGCCTGTGGTTGAAAGGATGCTTCGCAGGTGGGTAGGTAAAGGAGGTTGTTTCTTTCAGGTGCCTCCCATTTATGTTGACTGTTGTCTGTTGTTGTTGCTGTTGCTGTTAGCCAGGAATCTTCATCACCTCTGTTTTATCTATGTTCACTTGAAATCCTATCTTTGCTGCTTCTTCTATCGCCAACTTGTTGCTTTTCGCTTTCATATCTCCCAGTTTGTGGGAAATCAGACATATATCATCGTTGGCGAAGTCTAGATCCTCCAAGTTGTTTTTGTGTGAGTCGATTTTATTCCTGTTTCTTCATTTCCCGTTGTCTGTCACAATATCCAGTCTATTGAAATCAGGAAATTCATTGATGATAGTAGGCACCTTGCTTGCCTTACTCCGGTCTTCATTTCGAAGGGTTCCGTAAGTTTCCGGTTGTGGATTACTTGGCATGCAGCATTGTCGTACAACTGTTGTCGGCGGGACCCCATAGTAGCAAAGTATTTCCCAAACCACCTTCCTGACACCGTGTGAATTGATTATGTCTTGTTAACTTTTGTGAAAAGTTTTTGCATTGTGGAATAGATCAAATAAATTATAATTATATTTCATTAGTTTAATCAATGGAAAGTCTTTTTTATTTTGTGGTGATACTTCGGGAGAAATTACTGCCCATGATCACATCATTTGTCGGAATTGTTTTCTTTTTAAGTGACACAATTATAATTTGTGACCATATATATATATATATATATATATAGTCTTTTTTGGTATATCCAGAAATGTATACCACATTGTCGACAGGTGTGCTGAGTGATCCTTGTTATATATATTCGGTGTAAACTTAATGAATGTAGATTCCATAAGTAGCCTTTCTTTCAATTTATTTTATATGTTACTTAAAACTATCCAAGCGTGTTTAGAAAAAATTAAAACAAGATTTTTCCTTTCGTTTCACTGGCTAAGCCACAGTTTCTTCAGCAGAATAATTCAGATTTCATTAATCGTCAAATTATATTAGTGAAAAATTACATAAATTGAAATGACTTCCTTTGAAGGTCACCTGTCGGTAGACATTTGTACCAGTAGAAAAGTGTAAACAGTCGTCACATAACTGGCGCTTTTGGTGACTAGTATTGCAATCCACGAGGGTGCGCATTTTCTCCTATTTGGCACTCTTCATCATATACTTGAAATGAATAATGTCAAATTGTTTGTATGAACGTGTGCACGTTTTTTGTTGTGTGGAAAACCCGTCAGGACATGATAATATTTCATGTTGGTTATAAACCAGGACTGAATTTGTTTTTCTCCCTCGTCTGTTTTGCTTCATTAGAGTCTGCCGTATAAGTGATAAGTCTTTAGAGGCTGATGGTACTGACGTTCGCCATTTGTACGGAATATACTAACGCAAGATGTTATACCAACAACGTCTATAGTATTCGTTTCTCGTGGACCAAAGGCAAAGCAAAAGACACGATTGGTCGTCCAAATTACGAGATATATTTCGGAACCATATCGTGGACTGAAGCGGAAGCTAAGCTAGCTAATGATCGTGCACAAAAGTGACACGACGGAGTACCAAATAGCGAGGATGCTTGACCGGAAGCCTTCAGCTAAACAAGTCGACTTAAACACTTATGATTGCTATAGTCAATAATTTTGGGGAATTATTTACCGCTACAAGTCTATTACGTCCCTCATATTTATTGTATTCGATGTGGTCAAAATATGTAAGCCTTTAGAGGTCAGCTCTTCTTTATGTGAATGAAAGCCTTTTCCTAGAATTGCGACATTATCGAAATCAATCTTATGACCGCTGCTCATAGATAGCATACATTGGTGTAGCTGATCTTTTTTCTAGACTTTTTGATTCTACCTTGTTTCTAGGTGGACGTTTCCTGCACAATCTATTTTTCCATACTGGATTTCAGAATACAGATGTTGTCCTAATCAGCTTTGTGACTAATAACTATTACTGTCGTCTCCTGCTTCACATTATTCTGTAACTGAATTCAGCACAGACCACGTTTGTCACAGAAATAGTATTTATTTTACCACCCAATAACTACTAATCTGTTATTTATTTATTTTATTTTTGATTACAGCTTGATTCCACACCGTATTTTTGGTACAAGTGTGGAATTTTCAGAGTGGATATCGGTAGCCCAAAATTCGCAGGCCGACCATAGGTATCAGGTGTGCGTCGGCGTGGGCTCGAACCCCGGACCGTGGGCATGGTCGGCGAGAGTCCTAACCTCTGTGACACCGACGCAAAAAAATATATCCACCGCATAACTGGCCAATATTGGAACGATTAACATTATATTTTGCAATTATAAGCACCTTAATAGAAGGATGTTTTGAGAAGAATTTTCAATATATGAGGATACTTCACACTTTAAAATCTTATCACCACTAGATTCGAAAATTAAGTTTGATACTATAAATGCAGTTTACTTATAAGAGGAGTATGTGTACTTAACCAGGATCTACCTGAAAAGTGATTATTTCTCCATACAGTTTGTTGTCTTTTCACTTACTCCATTTTTTTTCGGCGGCTTGCTTAAATCACTAGGCTACCGAAATTACTTTCCACTAAAATGCTTAATTTCATCTGGATCTATCATGATTTCTTTTTAATTGTCCAGTTATATCAGGTGACCTATAGATGAAATTACACCCTGGCTTAACTTGCTTCCAGGTAAACATTGTGTAGTTCTTCAACGAAATGAAGATATATACTTCAGATTATTACTCCGTATTTAAATCCTGTATGAAGAAAAACCTATTTTGGAACTGAATACGCTGAAACGTTTTGCACCGTATATTCGCATATTGTCGGAAATAATGCTTTATTATTATTATTACACAGATGAATAAATGTCAGTTAAAGGACCATTGTAAACCACAGGAAAGTAGTAGATATCTGTTTTATCCTAGTTCAGTACTCATCGATAGTAGCCATCCTCTGAGGCTTGAACCTAGGACTCTCCAGTTACAAGATTTTGTGATTCTTGGTTGAGGTTAATTTTCATTGGGCATTCAGTCGGGTCCGAGTAGCTGGATTGTCTATGAACTTGCCTTGTAATCAAAATGTCCTTGGTTCGACTCTAAGTAGGTGCGTGTTGTTGAAGAGTCCCTAACTAGGACGAAGCAGCTTTCCAGTAGTAGTTAACGATGTTTCGCTAACTGACATCAACCTGTGGTGAGTGTTGGCTGTAAGACAAAATTGTAGACAGCAGTTTTTACGTCAGTATTACGTCCGCAATTGGGATCATTTGAAAAACAATAGCAAAGCTTAACCTTGAAGAATTCAACAACTAATCGCAGCCGACTTAACGTGTGCAAATACGATTCGCAGACATATGTGCCCTAACTTTCTCAGAAACGGTCACAAAGTTTGGCCTTTGTCTTCTGTTAGTACAAACCTACCAGAATCCCTACAAACTAGCTCATTGGAAATAAATATTAAATAAGGCACCAGAGTATCATTGAAATTCTTTATTGCGTAATAGGAATAATAATAATAATAGTATAGTAGTAGTAATATGAATAATTCTGAAGTATTCTGTAAGTCTTGATTCTTGTATATTCTTTTTATCTCTACAGGACTCTGGTACATTGAAATAGTGCCTGTTTTTTCTTGGTTACATTTGAAATTCCTAAATTTTGATGTTTGATATATGCATATATATTTTTGTCTTTGGCGGATTCATTGTCTCATTTCTGTTCAATGATCAATTTCATTGAAGTACTTCAATGTGAGTCATAGTTTTAATACTTATAAGAAGAAGAAGGACAATAACTTGAAGAGAATTTGGTTTTAACACACACAAGTGAAAAAAACGAAGAAAGGAAGAAACGCGAAACAGCACACAACAGGAACGATAACAAAAATCGTTGTTACTGTCAATGATGTAACTAATCCACTAACCTGACTAACCGACTAACTAACCACCCATTTTCTGATTAAAATAGTGTAAAGTGAATAGAGAAAGAAAAAATCACAAGAGTACTAGTGTGTGTTCGGTTATTCTTTTTTTTGTTGGTACAATTTGATCTGTATTTGTCTATTTAATTACCATTTTACGGCCAATATACAATTAAGCCAAGGAAATATAATGCAGTAGAGTCTCTTACTTCAATTACATGAAGAAATACAGATAAGGAAACATTGTTTTTAAGAAATTTTATTCATCTGAGGGAGTGATTGAATTATTTAGTTGATTATTTAATTATTTATTTAGTTAGTCAATTAATTAGTTTTAATAAAAAGCTCTTCGAAGTTCTGCAACATTTTTCAGTATATAATTATGACTTGTGCGTAAATTACTGCTATGCGATACTTCAATCCATTTAACTTGTTCCTCTGTACCAGGTTCATTGAGTAACTGTGAGACAAAATTAAAGACAAAAATAAAAAAAATGTTAACATGAAGGAAATGTGTTTTTTACATCGAAGCATAAGTAGAATAGCGCCGTGAGATCATGATTAAGCATTATTTAAAGAAGTCGATAGCCGTTACGTCTTCATTTAGGACGCTTTTTCAGTGGGATAAAATCCGAAGACTTAAAAATACTGTATCTTTGCCTGTCATATATCAGAGTGACTGCTCTAAAGTAAATGGCTTTTTATCAGAAATCAGCCAGTGAGTGGTCCAAGGAAAACGGTTTTACCTTAAACCCCTCCAAATGCCAAACAGTCAATTTCACCTTTAGGCATAAATCTGACCTAAACCAAACTGGTTAGCTCTCACGAGGTCTGCAACATAGATGGATAGCACTGAAATAGAAACCAAGTCGGAAATTAAATACCTAGGCGTCATTCTATCTGCTGATCTTTCCTGGTCATCTCATGTCTTGATGATTTCTAAGAAAATATTCCGTCTTACCTTCTACATCAAGAAGTTAAGACATTCTGGAATAAACCAACCCTTACTCCTACAATTCGTTAACTCTTGCATTCTGCCTATTATTCTTTATTTTTTCCCCTTAGTTTTTCCAGGGTTACTAAAGGAAGACTATACATTATTACGCAGGATGTTAAAGGTTGTCAGCAGGGTAAGCCACAGAGTGCCACTTAACCAGCTTGTTAATATTCTGGTTGACAGGCACTTGGACTTATGTGAAAAATGGGCAAAATCCATTCTGTCTAACTCACACCACCACCCTCTTCATTCATAACTCTCCCCTTGTATCTCTTCAGAGGAAACCAGAAGCCTATATAGAAAAATTTATGCTCACACTAGGAAGTACAAAAACTCAACCATACCCTACCCACTTAGCTCGTGTTCTGTGCAATAAAGAAAGCATTAGGCGTGATACCTATCACTTATTAAATAGTCAGTAGAACAACTGGATCTCGTCTTTCCAACTCATATCATCATTTATGGGTACAATGTTTTCTTTCTCTCCTTTCCTTTTCTCCCTTTCTTTTCTCTGTTCTGCGCTGCTTTGTTTCTTTCTTCCTTACTAACTCTATTAAAACATTCTTCGTTCTGTCACACTCTGTATATGTTGACCTATTTGTTACCACTTACGCCAGCAAATATGCTAGCGTCTAATTTTCTAACATCTTTAAAAACTCTGTTCAATTTCGGCTTGCTACCGACATGTCAATATGTTGTTGTCAAAACTAATTGAGATGCCCCTTAATCTATGTTCTTTTTTCCTTCACGTTCCCAGTGGAACATAAGGCTTCAAGCTAGTGGCTTGAAGTTTCTGTAGCAGTGTTTTATTACTTTTACAGGATAGGGTTGCTAGCCTCATGCCCAACCTTTTCTCTTTACCAGCATTTTTTCCGGCTTAGCAAGGTGAAGGAGTGCGTCAGTGGCCGGGAATCGAACCACGGACCATTTGTATGGTCGGCGAGCATCCTAACCGCTATGCCACCGACACACACGCCATGTAGAATTTTATTTATTGAATAATGTACTAAGTGGATGCAATACTGTAGTGAAATGCTGAGAATTCCATTCTGTATCACAAGTACTGTTTTGGAATAAAGCAAAATTATTATTATTATTATTATCTCCTTTCTATTTGTTCTATATGAAGCTTGAGCATCAACCCATTGACTAATATCAAATGGAAGGAGACGCACGACATAGATTTCACTGTCAGCCATCATCAGGCGAATAACGGTAATATGACTGAAGCATCCAAGTTCCTAATCTCACTGAATTTACTCCCACACAAGTAGATAATATCGAAAGCTCTCACACATTATGTGTGCCTCATAACTCCGTACTCAGATGATCCATCTCGGGTAACCGTGTTCAAATATCAACTCAAATTTATTATCATTTTATTGTTATTCCCTTGAGTTCCGTGTGGAACATAGGGCTTCAACAACACATCTCCACTTTGTCCCATCTTCTGCCATCTTCTTCAGCTTGGATCACGGTTACTCATAGTCTCTCATCTCCCCCTCACACGATTTCCTCTACGTCACTCTAGGACAATCCATTCGTCGCTTCCTATTTGGATTCCATTAGAGCTATGACCTGGCGTGCGATGTCATTCGACGGTCTCTTTTCGATGTATCCTCGATCCTTCTCCGATTTCTCATAAATATTCGTTGAACGATTGGCTCTTGGTTGGTTTGTTTTACTAGTTCTTTCTGGCCATTTAATCTTCAATATGCAGCCAGCGAAGGCAGATGTTGATGAAAGTCCACAACCTGTTGGAAATACTTTTCGTGACACTCTGGCCACATTTCTGACCTGTATAGAAGGGCCGACTTGACAAGGGTGTTGAAAATCCAAATCTTGTACCCTATGCTGACTGTAGAAGGTTTCCAAATTGGTTTCATTTTGACGAAGACGTATCTTGCCTTTCTGATTCTGGCCTGCTTTGACGGCTTCATCCGTTCCACCTGTAGTTGAAACGATGCATCCTGAATAAGTGAAGGAGATGACCTCTGTTAAATCTCCCCTATTTGGTGATGATTTTTGCTGGTTGTTTTTGTTGCTTTTGGTTGGTTATTCTCATCACTTTCGTCTTCTCTACGTTCACTCGGAGTCCTTTCTTTGCTACTTCTTCAGCCAGATTGCTGGTTTTCGCCTGTGAATCTTCGAGTTTGTTTGAAATTAGACATATATCATTCGCAAAATTCAGATCTTCTAGCGTCTTGTCATGGGTAGTACAGCGTACTCCTGTCTCCTCGACACAACTTTATAGGTCTTAGTTAACCTTAGTTAAACTATCGAATCTTTTATACTGAGCCAATTCCCTCAGCCCCCAAGAAATACACATATCTTTACACTGCTGGTTATATTTCTCTCACCCCGATTATGACCTTGGAATCCTATTGGCTGTCGACTTTTAATTTATCGGTGTAGCTAGTGTCTCTCAAGGTCAGCTAAAGCATATACGAGACAGTAAAAGCACTCTACGTCAATTGCCTGTCTTCTCTTCTTGCCTTATTGCATCGTCGTCTCGGTGGTATAGTATCATGTCGCTGTTGTCGTTGTTGTTGCTAATGTTTGTTAGAACAGTAAGCTAGCGAATCGACTAGGTAGGAAGGTCCTTAGAGCAACCAGCAAGTGTCGTAATAGTCATATCAAAATCATATTATATAACAGTCGTAGAACCTTATTCAAATTTAAAAATATCATGAAATTACCTTAAGTATATCGTCTGGAAGTTGAGCACCTTTGCTCTCAGATTCATGCAGATTGATTACCACTGTCTCCATCCATGCACTATCAGCATTCAATTGGTCGTCAAGATAACCTTTGAAAATCTAAAAGACCAAGTGGAAAAGCAAATGAATAGTCTAAGCTTAACGAACAAACTGTTTTTCCATAGTCCAAAAAAGATATCAGATTGATTCGGCGTCCATTTTAAAAGTAAAACAATCTGCCTTTTCCTTCATTACACAAAGGTATCATGAATAAAGTTATCTCAATAAAATCACAGCTATTACATAAAGTCTGTTCAGAGAATATAAAGAGTTCATTATGAGTCAAATTTATTTTGATAAAGTCTCACAGTGTTGTTATACGGTAATATTTACTGATGACCACGTTTCGAGCATAATTTATCACTACTTTTATTCATATCAAGGTATTCGTACAACTTTTTAACTTCGTTTATATAATCCCGTTATTTCAGTTCATTGCTTCACTTGATTGTTAGTAGTTTTTTCTATATTTCAGGTATGAGTGATGACTCATTCCTATTGCATGTGTTTGGTGTAGACCACTGGATGAACAAGGATTCAGTAATCAACCTCTCTCTACACCTACCTAGATTACTTTTCAGAAATTTAACCCTCTCCCACCCTCTTGTTTGGTTTTGTGTTAATGCATGGAGTGTAATCCCTGAGCTTTTTTCTAAATTGCTTATGTTCGCCGGTGGGGTCAACCATTCTAATCTTAGCTAATTTTTTTATGTTCCAACAATCTAACTAACTCCGATATACCGGTCTGACTCACCTATGTAGTTGATTTAACTCACAGTCATTGCAGGGTATTTTGTGAATTATATTATTTTGTCTAATTGGATCAACCTACCGGGTCATTCATCTTACAGAGTTTGTCCTATTTCAGTGAGTTTGTAGGTTTAAATGCCACTTTAATTCCTGCTATAATAAAAATCCTACGTAGGATCTCAGATATCCCCCCTTTATATGGTATAACTGTAGATGCCTTATATTCCCGCTTATTTATGCTATCATTGTTAGTTTCCCCATTATTTTTATTTTGCTTATGATCTTTTCTGATCTTCCTAATGAATTTTTTAGGTTAGTTAGTTATTTAGCAGCAAAGCTTCTTAAATCTTAATAAATGTGTAAAACTTGAGCACTGTGGTAGTAAGTAATTCCATATTAGTTTGTTTAATAAATATATCACACAGTGAAGAAACAGTATTATTTACTGGATGACAAGGTTTAGAACAGAATTTCTTGCTCATTATCATGTCATCAATTGTAAGCACACGACTTCGAAACCTGAGTTTTATAGTTTTCTTTGTTCTCCCCTATTTGTCGTCGTATGGGTAGTAGAATTTTCCAGATATCTGGGTTAACAGGTGTTGAATCATTCCTATTACGCATGTGTTTGCAGTTGATTTGATAAACAAATCTTCTGTTATCAATCTCTCCCTCCCTCTACCCTGTTACATTAGATTTCAAAACTGTCATCCTATCCCATCTTATTGTATGGCTGTGTGTAATTGTATGTAGTGAGCGCTACAACTGAACTATTCTCTAGATTTCTTATCTTATTTGGTTCAACTTATCTAGATTTTGCTAGATTTTTATTTTTTATTTTATTTTTGATTACAGCTTGATTCCACACCGTATTTTTGGTACAATTGTGGAATTTTCAGCATGAATATCGGTAGCCCAAAATTCGCAGGCCGACCATAGGTATCAGGTGCGCGTCGGCGTGGGCTCGAATCCCGGACCATGTGCATGGTCGGCGAGAGTCCTAACCACTGTGCCACCGACGCACTGCTCTGCTAGTCTGACTGCACCTGTCCTACTACTATGACCTATGTATTTGACCTGACAATCAACTCAGGCAGGGTATTAGATAAACTAAATTGTTTTGTTTTAAAGACTCCACAGGATTGATCCTTTAACCAACAAAGCTTGTTTCTAATTGAGTTTGTGGGTGGTTTGAATGCCAGCCACTTTTATTCCTGCATGCCTTGTTAAGAATTCTGCGTAAGTTTTCCGGAGTTCCTTCCTTGTATGGAATTACTACTGATGATTTAGATTCCTTGTTGTTGGTGTCGTCATTAATATTATTATTATCACTATCGCTAATATCATTATTTATTTTATTTTTAGATTTCCTTACATATTTCCTGACTAATTTATCCGGATAATTATTAAGTTTCAAGGCTTTTTTTCATGCGTATCATTTCTTGTCTTAGATTTTCCTTAATACTACTTAGTTTTTCTGCTCTGTCACTTAAACATTTTACTGACATAAGATGGGATTATCGGAAGTCCAAGCATCTGTTTGAATGTGTGGGTTCAAAACTGTGTCATCCAGTAAATAATTCTGTTTATTCACTGTGTGATATATCTAATAAACAAACTAATATGGAATTGATTCTTCTACCTGTTTCATTTCAATATTAAGCTCTTTTTTTTTACTACTTAGTGCTACTGTGGTGAGAGCAGGCCGTGAGAAAATATGAGCAAGGCTGATTCAACTACCAATCACAGCAAAGTTAACGTGGCAAAATATGATTCGCAGATAGAGAACTCTATTTGTCGAGGAATCCCGAAACAACCAATCAGAAGCCTGCGTTTGTCTGCCTAACTTCTGAAAAACAACCAATCAGATAACTGCGCTTGTCTACTTGCATAAGCTATAATAATGTATATGAAATATGTATAAATACATGTTGATTTTCATAATAAAACGATCTGTTGCCTGGCCCTTGTCTTCTGTTGTTACACTACTGCTTGGTTTGTTAGACACTTAACTAAGCCTGCTTTAACATATCACGGATAGGATAAATAAATTTTACCCACAATGGAATTCTACTCTACCACAGTGCACAAGGTCTATTCTCATATCAATATGATGGAGCATTGTTCATGGTGGTTATTTATGAAAGTCGTCAAGTCCATCAAAAGTTCCATAAGAATACACTTTACGAATATTTGTCTGTTTTTCTCTTGCCTATCTTTTAGATAAAATGTGGAAACTTAGAAGATATTTTCAACATATGATCTTAAACTTAGAATAAACAGTTGAATATTTCTGTGACAGTGGCAAGCAAAACACTGACTGTTTCAAAATGTCGCTATTTAAAAGTTGCACTCTACTAAGTTTCTTTCTACTCACCAAACGATAACGGAGTTTTCCCAAAGCCTAATGGTTCTGTAATCAGCATCATAGGTGCACAGTACCAAAGATTTCAAAACTACATCAAAAGAGCTGCATAATATCTCATAGTCTTTAGCTTTTTTCCAGTGCACGTTAATTCATTATAGAGTTCAAATCAATTTTTTTAAGTTTATGATGTTTATTTGCTGAAATAATAAATCTAAGTATGAACGCTGCAACAACATCTTGAAACTGACACCCTTTTACTTGACCACAGCAGATATCCTCTGGACAGAAAATGGCTCTGGTAACTCCATGGCCTATTGGACAGTTCTTTGCTCTGCTAAAAAGTGTCACTACGCTCAAGTCCTGGTGAGGTTCGGGCAGATTCAGTCGATTAGTCCCAAGTATGACGAAATGTGTGTCGTGGATACCAGCGCTGGGTACTATCAACTAAATAACCGCAATATTTATCACTAAAGCAATTAGAATTTGAAATGGTTCATAGGAAACTGAACTATGTTTAGTCATCGCATAAATGAAAGGCATAGTATGACTGATCACAGTCTTATATATCTGTGTACTTCAAAACTCTCAAAAGTATAAATAAGAGGAAATAAGTGGTCATAGAATTTATGATACTATCATCAACACAGAATGCAATCCTATAAGACTTTTTTTCTATTCCTTTACGTTCCCAGTGGAACATCATAGGGCTTCAAGCTAGAGGCTTGAAGTTTCAGCAGAAGTGATGATTATTTTTACGGGATGGGTTTTCTAGCCAGCCTCATACGCCTAATCTTCCCTCTTTACCAGTTTTATTACTGGGTTAGCAAGGTAAAAGAATGCACCGGTCAGGGATTGAACCCTGAACCACTGTGTCACCGACTCATTATTCATATATATTCAACTTTAGAAAACCATACCTGTGTAACTTCAGCCTTCTCAATTCGTTTCAATAATTTGTCAACTCTTCTTTCTGGAAGCATAGCACGTGCTCGTCTGGTTATCAAAGTGCTGATAAGTTTCGGTACACATTCATCAAAGTCACACCGGTTCGTATGATCTGTGAGATACTGAAAAATAAATAAATAAATAAAAATGAAAATATTGTCACTATGTGAACCTCCGTTTTCTGAATTGTTTTATAAGATAGCACAAAGATACTAAAGCTCTACTTTTGTTACCTATTCAGGTAGGTACTATTTTATGGGGTTAAAGAGTCTGAGTTCATCGAATCAGTTGAAGCTTCAATGATCAGTTTGTTTATCTGTGCAGATTGAAACAAATGGTGGACAAATGGATTTTCAAAGGACAAGTGATCGGTGGCGGTATTGTAGTGGGACTGTGAATCTCTATACTCTCTTGAAAAGACAGCTTTTGTATCGAAGAAAGTTATCTTTAATCAACGGCCATTTAAAGGTGGTCAAATCACACAGCTGATAGCTCAAAGACTTCAGTTAGCGTAGATTCTATGCCGCACCCTTTTTTGTTAAATCTCGAAAGTATTCAATTCCTGTGCCCACGACTAAAGGTGTAAATTCTGTGGACTCTACTTCACAATGAATCTATAAGTTTATCTGCAATTGCGGTGACATATATATGCCTAAAATCAATAGAATGTTTCAATGTGGCCATCGAAAAGAACATGTTCCAAAGTAGTTATTAAGACATATAGAATACCCACATACACTTAGTCTGAATAGAAATCCAGTATCATCTTCTGCAAAGCGATTATTAATGCCCGATCACAAAATCACTATTAAGGACAGCTGAAAAAATATTTCACATAATTCTAATTCAAGGTTATTAAAGATAATGGGGACACTTTGGATGAATCATATGCATCCCTAACTATGTGTGTAGCGAAAACAATTGACCCCAACCATTTGCCTATCACGGACAACTTCACCTACTTAAATATGTAGTTGAATGTTTTTAAATCTCCCCGTCGATTGATTGGACCAAAGTGCTTGGTCTCAGCTTGACATGTCGGCTTCTTGTGCAGATGCTTCAATGATGTCTGAGCATGTAATTAGAATTGAATTGGTGGGTGGTGATCGTCAAAGTATCTGCACAAGAAGCTGACATGTCAACCTGAGACCGAGCATTTTTGTCCAATCAGTCGACGGGAAAATTTAAAAAATTCAATTAAATGATTACTATGACTCGTTGCACAAGAGGTGGCTGTCGTGTCCCAAGTGGCCTAGTGGGTGACACTTTGGCGTTTGAAACTATGGGCACTGGGTTCGGGCCTCGATGAGAACATCATCACTCAATGGTGGATGCAGCTTCATCCAGATGAGGAGTCCTGGATAGGACGAAGTGCATATCCTGGATTCCACTGCTAGTCACCATCCACCAATTCAACTCTAACTAACCCTAACTACTACTTTTGTTTCGGGTAGCTGAGTAATTCACCTGTTGGTTTACGGGGATTTGACTGATTAGTTACAGGATTTCATCATGAACTGACATAGATTAGAGGACCATTGAAAAACCTGTTTCGTCCTATTTCAGGACTCCTCATCAGTACAGTGATTGTCTACTTCTTAGGAGCGCCATGTAGTTTTCACGTATGCGGTACACATGAGTACGCATAAGGTGATCGGCCAAAGTCGCTTATATGCATATAATCACTTGAAAGCCGACAAAAACAAATGTAACATTAGGGAAGGATCATATACCTGATTACGTAATAAGGAAAATGAACACAACTTTCTAACTTACCCATGGCATACATAACCTTTTATTTCTTTCCAACGCTAAATATTGTAATACACCACGATTACTTCGTATCACTTGTGCACCAGTACGTGTATCTCTAGTCCATCGTGTAATACATAATACCAATGAATGATTTGGTCCCCAACGTGGCAATAATCCTTTACCCAATAATCCTGTTCTACCCATTGGATTAAGTGGCGCCCCAGTGGTTGAATCCAGTCGATATCGACCAAGTAAACTTTGTCGGCGTAGTTTAGCCTTAGAATCGTATTGATTGAAACTGATACTGCGTAGACTTTCACTATGTTCAAAAGTAAATATCACGTTCCCATGCGTGAAACTTCATAAACATTAAATTTTTTTTTCAATAATCATCATTTATATTACGAAGAGTAGCGCATATTTTTTGGGGAGGTAGTGGTGGTGGTGGTGTTCAGCGTGACCCAGAAGAATAACGCCGAGATCATTGATTCATATAAGATAGTTGGCAGAGGGGGGGGGGGGAAGAAATCAACAGAGTGTTTTGTTTTGACTATGAGGTACGGTTTTTTCTGTCTATATTCTACGACTACGGTAGCCATGCAGTGATGCATTACTATTTTTGCATAACATTTTTGGCATATAATGAGTCGAGCAGTGTCTAGATGTGATATAGCATAGTGTTGATAGGTCTATTGTGGGTTATACAGCAGTTATAATGGAGATTTCATGATCAGTCTTGTTAGTTCCGTTCTAGATTAGTTTTACATAGGCGACATGCAACTACCAAGCAAAAAATAAGTAAGGTATCCAAACAACTTACCTATAATATTCTCGTTCTGTGTTACAGGGGACTACTGATGGTATTTGAAATGAAATCTTAACTCAGAAAATAACTTAAAGCATTCGGAGCTTCATGTTGTTAGGTAGTTGGAGGCGATTGGCAGGAGACCTTCGACCCAAGGTATCGTGCTTTCTGGCATTCGTTAGCAGGGTTTATCCACAATCTTGAGGGAACACATGTTCCTTCTGAGATTTCAACCTGGTTCATCCAGTGCTGAATTTTGTTGACTCGAGCTGAGCTGCAAGACTAAATTAAGAACTCATTGTTGACTCTAAGTGGCAAACTTCTCACCAGATGCGTGTTTAAATCCTGGCATAATTAGGATTTACTTTATCTTCGGCCTTCCCTTCATTACATAGATGTGAGTGTATGAATCCAAGACCATGTTAGTCAGTTTTTAGTGTTGTGATTAAATTTTATAGATGAAAGTTAGAAGAGCTACCTCCAACACGAATCGTGCTATATTTGGGAATTTTCGGTTAATCTTCAGTAGGTCTAAATATCGAGGAGTTGCTCACTAGGATATTAGGCCACTTAATTTCGAAAAATATTACGATTATATATTTTGAAAACTTGACAAGTTCCGCATTTTTTCAAGACTTTTGAAACTCCAGTTGAAGTTGTCTAGCCTTCACTTCGACTCCCTCTGCTGAAACGATTTCCATTACTTTAAAGCTGATGATGACGTCAAGAAGTTTGGTTCAGTTATTAAAGCTTGTTAATTCAGTTAGATCAAGGCAAGTGGTAGTTATATGAAGAACTTTCCTTTGCCACATTATCCACAAATGGGGTAATTGATCTGCTTAGATCTACCACTGTACTGTAGAAGTACTATCAAATCTTAGCCTTTACATGATTCAGCGACTTGACGCGTCACCAAAATCTTTTCCAACAAGCTACTGCACACTTTCTTCGACAGCTTCCTAGTTTACTCCATACTGAACATCAGATGGCCAGTAAGGATAAGGAACAAAGAACCTCTACCAAGGTACCAACCGAGAAATTAACGTCTTACAAATGAATTAGACATACACTGAGAAGACCGTTAACTGTCATCGCCCATGAGGTGCTTAGGTGGAACTCGACTGGGAAACAAAGAGTTAGGTGTTTGAGAGTAATCGTGTGAAGAGGAACTGAAAGCCTATTCTCAATTATGGAACCAGCCAAGGAGGACTGTAGAGAACAGAATGAAGCCAAGACGTATTACCGACGTCCTATCTTCCACTTGGAATTCAAGAGAAAATTATTACTCTACCAGATGTCATTGAAACATGAATTTTCGTGTAAATGACACAGAATACTTTACACAAAATTTAAGAGCTTTGAAGCATTGCTATTCTAGGATTAAACTAGTTTCATGGTAGATTTAGTCACATGTCTACCTCACTCACAAAGTCTTTGAAAATTAAAGATAACTGGATAACCATTTGGTCGAAATCCTAGACTTTTCAGCAGTGTGCACCTGTAATCCATAACAAAATTTCTACTGATAAGTTACACTGGAGATTTTCAACCTAATTCTAGTCATCTTTGTGCGGTCAAATTCGAATTCGAATCTTCGGCCTACAAACACCAGTTCGGGGCTCTACTAACTGATTTGCCAAACCTTTCTGATAACCACCTTATCATTTCCCTGAAGTTACTACAGGTAACGCTCACATTTCATGTGAATAAATGATGTACTAGCTGGAGCCCAGCTGATAGAGTACCAGATTAATTCATACTATGCCGTAAGCTGGATTTTCATCTCTCATTGAGTCGTCACTCGTTACATTAACGATTAATATTCATAATTAGATATAGAGTGGCAATGGAAAACATGCATTATTGGGCATGCCAGAGCATTTAAAAAATTTTTTCAGCTAGGTTGATTGTTAGTAATATACATTATACTATGAAAAAGTTGAATATCGTGTGTATGCACGTCCATACAATGAAAGGTAAATCATGTCAACAGACAGTTAAACAGTAGTAAAGACTATAAGGAATTGATTATAACATTGACAAACACATGCAACAATTAAGCTATAAGTTAAACTAAATTTTGTCTTACTTCTCTCCGTCGTGTGCATCTTCCGATGGGAATAGCAATACCTCTTCACATGCATCATATGCAAAATAATCAGGATATTCAGCCTGGAAAAAATAAAATCAAATAAATTATTGAACAAAGTTAAAACAAAATGACTAGCATACTTGACTTGAAAATAAAACTTTGTTATGTGGTAGGTAATACTTTGGTTTATAGGGATCTAAATAGTTGGGTCAAGAATTGACATCATTAAGAGGACCACTGTAAACCAGAGAATATGTAGTAGATGTTTCGTCCTAGTTTGGGACTCTTTACTCGCTTACACCTATGAACACACTATGGACCAAAACTACTACCTACAAGTATTAGTTCATAATACTCCAACTCATTGGATTAGTGGTCAGTGTACTAGGCAAGCAGTGTGAAAACCTTAGGCTCAGTACCTTAAGACGACTCCTGAAGATTGCAGAACTAAGAGAAGATATCTGTCCATTACTTTTTGGTTATTAAGTGGATATTTTTAATGGCCGCTTTTGGAGGTCGACTTACTGAACAGGTCAAGATTGCCTTAAACATCCTGTCTAGAAATGTTTATTTAACATCACTCAGTTAAACGAATTTGTTAGAAGTTTGTCTCCAGTGTTTGTTTTAGAATTCCGACTTCATTTCTGACTGATGTTTACCACTAAAAGTTTCAAAGTTAACTTGTTAATATTTGTGTTCAGATGGAGACAGTGTAATCTAATACTTTGCCTTGGAGTTTAAGTTGGTTAGTGAAGTTCCCCACTTTGATATTGCAGATTTAATAACACTTCATTCTTTTGAAGATGTCAATTTCAAGGAAACCAAGTTGCCACTAAAGTACAACATGCATATCAGATGTTATGATCATTAGGACATTGAGATCATTCAATATGAGATTAGATGATAAGGTAAAGTCAGCGTAAAAACTCTCTGAGTTGAAAATTTTCCATGTTTCTAAGCATTCGTCAGCTAGATATATAAATTAAAGGAAAGTAAGGCAAGTAGACCCTCCAAACTTTGAATTTACATCAAGGACATAAGTGTGATATAATAAGTTACAATAGATTCATATTTCATACTTCATCAATAGATTTTGACAAAAGGGTTTAGTCTAGGCATATTATATTGAATATCATGGACAGATCAGATCATATACTATTGACCTTCATAATAATCAGATGAAACAGTTCTCCGAATTGTTTATCTTTAAGAGTTCTCCATTGGAATTTGCATTTTTTACATGAAAACTGTTCGGTCCACATATTTGATACTCATAAATTTCTTAATTTATTGCCTTGATAGCTCATCGGGATCCGTCCAATTTTTATAGCCTTATGTATGCATGTAAATCGATTGTCGGCCGTCAACGTTTTATAATTCAGCGCTGTTCTATCCAGTCAACTAACTAGTGGAGAATATATACACTTAGATAAGCAGGAAGTTTACTTACATTGAAGATTCGAAAGTATGTGTCTAACAAAGTATGGCATAACTCTGACCCGCGATGGTGGGAATTTTAAACTGGATAAAACTAGTTGACTATCTCTCAATGTAAATAATACACAACATAAGCACAGACTAAATACTGACCTATCCTCTTCAGGCTGGTGTTTTGGACCCATTTATTATGTGCAGTCCAGGTGTATGAATTAAGTGGAAATAAAAATCATGCAGGTACTCGCCTGTATAATTTAAGAAGTAAGTAGTTAAGGGTAGATGAATGTGGAAGACAGGATAAGCAAGCGCCCTTCTGTAGTCTGTAAAATGTGGAGGATACGTTGAAGAGATAAGAAGTCCCCAGAATATCTACACTGCACGGATGATTTATGTCTAGTGTCATACAAACTCGAGGAGACACAGGCAAAAACCAACAAACTGACATAACAGCTGGGCAGCAAAGATAAGACTCTAAGGGAACACAGAAAAGATAGAGGTGTCAAAGACAATCAGCCAAAAACAACGAAAACTAATCATCACTATCAACGGAAAAAATTTGAAAGCTGTCAATTTCTTCACCTATCTAGGCAGTACCGTCTCAACTACAGGCGGTGTAATGGATAAAGATGTCAAATCCACTATCGGAAAGGCAAGATAAACTTTCATAACTCTAAAGTCAGTGCGGTAATTTTCTGCACTCCTTGGCATAAAGAGAGCAAAAATTCAGATTTTCAACACCAATCTTAGATTAGTTCTTCTTTCTATCAGAAACCTGTCATGCGCGTCAGGAAAACCATCTCCGATAGGCTGCTAAAGCTTTCATCAATAACTTCCTTCGCTGGCTCCATTTTTAGCGTCAGATGACTTGCAAAAAGGAATAAGCAGCAGGAAACTCTAGGGACAAACTAATCAAGAGCCTATTTATCAAGAAATATTTTGAAGACAATGGAGATTGATCGGACGCAGCCTGAGGAGACTGTCGAATGGCATCGTGCACCAGATGGGAAACAAGTTTGGCGTTCGAGGGTAATGTGAAGAAGATCGTGTGTGATGGAAACTTATTGGTAATCGTGGGGCCAGATGAAGAGGACTGCAAATGGCGATGTTTTGTTGAAGCCCTGTGTTACACCCAGAACCCCAGAGAGTTATAATAGAAATAAAAAATAAATGAGTGGATTGACTCGGAAAGCCCTTGTCCTGTATTGTAAGGGAAGGATGTTGTAGTGCTTATCGAGAGTTGTGTTTCGCCTTATCTAGTGAATATAGAACATCAGATTGATGAAAACTGAGCTTTGCAATTTGTTATATAGGACAAGCCTCGTTATTATTATTGTTCCCTTGGGTTCCTAGTGGAACACAGGGCTTCAACTACACGTCTCCACTTGACACTTCCGTCTTCCGTCTGCTGTACTTTTCACCTCCATCCATGGTAGTTAGTCCATACTGTTTCAACTCCTCTCTCTTCACACGATCTCCTCCATGTCACCCTTGCACTGACATCCCACACGCCGCTCTCCTTTCAAGTTCCACTCGAGCAGTGGCCTGACGCGCCACGTCATCCAGCAGCCTCCCCAGCGAGTGTCCGATCCATCTCCACTTTCTCCCACATATTTTCTGGGCGATTGGTTCTTGCTTTGTTTGTTTCCAGCCAGAGTTTCTTTTTGGTGACTCTTTCCGGCCCGGCCATCTCATCTTCAGTATAGATCCAGCGAAGACAGTTAGTTGTTGATAAAGGTCTGCAACAGGCTGTTGAAAATATTCTTTGTGACCTACCCGCCAAGTTCCTGATCTGTATAGAAGAACTGACTGACTTGAGGTTATTTGTCCTGAAAATCCGACCCAATTTTGTTGTTGATGCTGACTGAGTAACGAAGATTTCCAGATTGGTTCCAAGTTGATGAATGTGTGTGTGTTTCCCACCTTCCCGATTCTCGCTCTATTTGACATCTTCGTCCGTTCCGACTTCCTGTAGTTGAAACAATGCTCCCTAAATAAGTGAGTGAATGAAGTGACGACTTTCAAATGCCTCCAGTTGATGGTTACTGACGCTGGATGTTGTTGCTGCTGTTGGTTGGTTATTTTCATCACCTCCGTCTTGTCTATGTTTACCTGGAGTTCTGTCTTCACCGACTGCTTCTTCGACCAGTTTGTCGGTCGGTTTTCGGTTGTAAGTCTTCGATTGTGTGTGACATCAAACATAAATCATCCGCGCGCGAAATCCAGGTCTTGTAGGTTCTTCACGTTGGTCCAGGATATCCCTGTCTGCTCGTTTCCCACTCACTGTCTGACGCATAATCCAGCCCACCACAATTAGGAATATCATTGATGATAATAAGCACCCTTGTCTGAGTGAAGTGATTTGAAGTGAATTATTTTAACGAATTTAATAATGAACGCATTTCAAAAGATTTTGCATGAGTCTCACAGATGTAACAGTTGAATAGAATTTTATATGAATGACATAATTTCACTAGTAATCGGCAAAACACAGATTAAATTCCAACTAACAAGTAACTCACAGTCCAAGCCATTCTCTCCGGAGGTACATTCATTCTCATACCAGGATATTTTTCAAAATTGAACGGTGCCATTCTCCATAGACGATGATCACCTAAAACGCGTTCTATCACTCGACCAGTTTTTGCATCTGGCACTGGAGGTACTGACATAGGATCAGCTGAAGGATCTCCACCTTCTTCGGAACCACTTGAATCATCTTCTGATCCAGGAACTACAGCAGCTAAAAGGACCGGAGATTCCCTGCAGACAAAGACAGTATATTCAAGAATTACACACTATACGATAAAGTGGCAAAAAATAAATTTTATGCTTACATCTCGACATATCTGTTCTTTGAATACGACTCGTAGATTCTCCGCCCAAGAAACAGAGTAAATAACCTATGACATAACAGACCACAGAACGTCTTGCTTGAGTCTTACAAATGAAAATACTCACGCGTTAGAAATTCTTGAAGCTGCATCTGAAGGAAAAACTTCATCACTTATGATAGATAACTGTGGAGGAGGTAGAAGTTGAGCATTTTCGGCACCTTATTGAGAAGGCAGCATAGGGAGAATGCTAGTCGCCTAATGTAAACACTTCACTCTTATATCATATCTTCCGAACATCAGTAGAACTACGTCCCCGACTTGTTAACCAGCATTATTATATAATATTTGTTATTTGTCCCCTTGGGTTTTGAGTGGAATATTGGGGTTGAACAGCACATCCACCCGCCACTCTGTTCTCTGCGGTCCTCTTTACCTGGTTTCACCATTGTCCATAGTCTCTCATTTCTCCGTCACATGATCTATTCCATATCACCTACTCGTCGTTTCCAATTCAGGTTTCATTCGATCATTGTCCTGGCGCGCGACTCCATTCAATGGTCTCCTCAGCTTGTGTTTGATCCATCTGCAATTCCTTCGGGATGTTTATTGAGCAATAGGTATTTGATTGGTTTGTTCCAAGAGTTTCTTGTTGCTACTTGTCTCTAGCAATCTGATGTTCAGTAAGGAGATAGCGAAAACAGATGTAGATAAACCTTTTTAGTCTGTCGAAATTGCTCTTCGTGGGGTGCCATCCCTTTAACCTATATATAGAAATGCTGACTTAAAATTGGTGTTGTAAATCCGAATTTCGCTTATATATGTTGAGTGCAGGAGGTTTTCAGACTGTAAAAAGAGTGGTGAAGGTCTAATTTAACCTTTTTTTATTGCGGTCCTAACAGCCTCATGCTTACTGTCGCCTGTAGTTGATACGATGCCTCCTGCATAAATGAAGATAGTGACCTCTTTCAAATTTCTTCCGCCTCATTATCTACATCACTTCCGCTTTCTTTATGTTTGCTTGTAGTCCTGTTTTATCTGTCCAGTTCTCCTGCCAGTTTGTTAATTTTCGCTTGTGTATCTTCAAATTTGTGTGACATTAGACATAAGTCGTCCGTGTAATCCAGATCTTCTGGAGTTTTCTTATCGGTGGTCCAGCGTATTCCTGTCTACTTGTCTCTCACAGTCTAACAGTAAATACTTGTGATCTTACTGATTGTACTCACATGATACGACTTTCGTGCTTCTCGGATACTACTTTACTGATATAACTAATTAATCAGAGTGCATTTAAACATTGTCAATTTTGTGGGGAATCTTACCTACTATCACTGGAAAGTATCTGAAAAATAGTATTCCTTATTAGTTTTGTGGTGAGAGCAGGCCGTGAGAAAATATGAGCAAGGCTGATTCAACAACCAATCACAGCAAAGTTAACGTGGCAAAATATGATTCGCAGATAGAGAACTCTATTTGTCGAGGAATCCCGAAACAACCAATCAGAAGCCTGCGTTTGTCTGCCTAACTTCTGATAAACAACCAATCAGATGACTGCGCTTGTCTACTTGCATAAGCTATAATAATGTATGTGAAATATGTATAAATACGTGTTGATTTTCATAATAAAACGATCTGTTGCCTGACCCTTGTCTTCTGTTGTTACAGTTTTACATACATAATTTTGGACTCTAATGAATGGTGATATTTATACTACTGATTGATCAATATAAGTAGTTGTTAACCGCTCAAGTCAACCAATATTCCTTACCACCCACATGGAAGTGACCGACATACCCAATGGTCGTTTTACTCATTTGATGCCAGTAACATCGTTTCAGGGAGTGAACTGCTCTAAATGCTCCGAAAGGCTATCAGATACTACTGCTTGATGTGAGTGGCATTCAACTACTCATTTCAGTCAGCCAGTAGTATATAGTGTCATGGGATTATGATTTCTTTCTTGACTGCCACTTACGGTATAAAGCAGATGATATACTGTTATCTAAATTATTTCCAGGACTGTAGTGAATTTTGACTCCGAACTGTGGTATTCGTGGGTTCAGAATCTAGTGATGAAGTTTTGTACTTGTCTCCTTCGCCTTTGTAGCTTCTTGAGTGATGAAGAGTGGAAAGCATCCAACTTTTAACCGATTCTATTAAATTTCACTAAACCTAACAAATGTGCGTCGGTGGTAGAGCGGTTAGGATGCTCACCGACCATGTACATGGTCCGGGTTTCGATCCCTAGCCACCAACGCACCTCCTTTACCTCGCTTAACCAGAAATAAAGCTGGTAAAGAGGAAAGGTTGGACATGAGGCTGGCTAACAACCCCATCCTGTAAAATAAATAAACACTGCTACAGAAACTTCAAGCCACTAGCTTCAAGCCCTATGTTCCACTGGGAAGGTGAGGGAAAAAACGGCTTACAAATACTCTTACATTAGTATATTATGACAGTAAGATTAAAAAATTTTGTAGGTTAAATTTTATTGCATGGAGCTGACATCAGTTAGGGAACCCCTGGAAAACCAGCTGGGAGTAATGGACAGCTGTCTCCTCCGTCCTAGTTTGGGACTCTTCATCAGTACACACCCACCGGAGTTCGAACCCAGGACCTTCTGGTTGCAAGGCGAGCTCGTAGACCATTGAGCCACTTGTAACCAGAAAGCCCTGGGTTCGAACTCTGGTTGGTACGTACTGATTAAGGGTCCCAAATAAGTGGGATGAAACAGATGTCCAGAACTCCCAGCTGGTTTTCCACTGGTCCTCTAACTGATGTCAGTTCATGATGAAATCCTCCGTGCAATCAAACGAAATCCCTACAAAACCAATACTTAAAAAAATACAATTGCAGCGAAGAAAATTTTCTCTCCGACTAAGTCATCATCGAGACTGTACATTCGTGTATTTATATCAAGTGGACGGGAAAGCTCCAGAATAATTTCCGGTTAAGGGTGAAATTAATAAAAATTAAAATTAGGAATTAGAATGCCATAATAAACAGAAAAACATAGAAAACTGTTTTCCGCCCAGCTTCATAGACAAGAATCTCAAATCTAAGAAGACTTCCGAACAAGTCCAATCCGTTTCAAAGAAAATACTTCTGCCTAATGTAGAATTCAAAGGTGATATTGAAGCAGAAATCCTTCGTAAACGCCTCTCAAAATTGCTGAGGAAAACATACTTCGCCGCAAGCCTATGACTAACGTTTCCCAGCGAGAAAGTGTTCAGCCAGAACGCGGAAGACAAGCTGTCGCATTGGGCCACCTCAACGTGCATATACCAGTTTACTTGCTCTTGTGGAGCTAAGTACGTTGACCGTACCACTTGACTGCCGACTTGAAAAACGTGCTCGTGAACACTACCCAGCCTGGTTAGTAAAAGGAGACCAAAATAGCGTGTATAGATTCCAGTGACAGAACATCTTGTCAATTCAGGACATTCAGTGCCTTTCGAAAAATCCTTCAAAGTAATAAACAAGATTCGATCAAACCTATCAAAGGGAGTGAAATCAAGACATCTGGGCATAGCCGAGGCGTTAGCTATACAAAACCTCAAACCCACGCTATGTATCCAAAAGAAATACGTCCAACTCCTGTCCCTGCCACAGCCATCATAAACAGGTTATTTTGTTTTAGCAATGACCATCCCATAGCCTTTCTTACCTGAACTTCCTGTTTATTCATGTTATTTTGAATTTTTCTTAATCCCTGTTTACACTACCATATTTTCATATCCAAACATCCTGTCTATTGTTGTTACTTCTACATTTCTAACCCCCAGTTGCACAATGTCAATCTTCTTAGCTATCACGATGCTACTTTCTTTGTTTTATCCATCCCCCTGTTTATTATGGCATTCTAATTCCTAATTTCAAAGGCAAATCATGTACTGACCAAATTGCATAATCATCACAGAACAAAGCATGGAATGGCAATCAAACCTCTACCTCAACTTTATAGACTTTGAAAAGGCCTTCGACAGCGTTGATCGCGAAGTAATTTGGAAATTACTCGAGTACTACGACGTACCCCAAATATTCATCAACCTTATTCAACAGCTGTACGACAGCGGCACATGTCAAGTGATCCACAACGGAAAACTCAGCGAGGCGTTTGGAGTAAACACAGGAGTCACACAAGGGTGCTTATTATCACCAATGATATTCCTAGTTGTGGTTGACTGGCTGGATTATGCGTCAGACACTGGGAAACGAGAAGACAGGGATATCCTGGATCGACGTGAAGAACCTAGAAGACCTGGATTTCGCGGATGACTTATGTTTGATGTCACACACAATCGAAGACTTACAACCGAAAACCGACCGATAAACTGGTCGAAAAAGCAGTCGGTGAAGACAGAACTCCAGGTAAACATAGACAAGATGGAGGTGATGAAAATAACCAACCAACAGCAGCAACAACATCCAGCGTCAGTAACCATCAACTGGAGGCATTTGAAAGTCGTCACTTCATTCACTCACTTATTTAGGGAGCATTGTTTCAACTACAGGCAGTCGGAACGGACGAGGATGTCAAATCGAGCGAGAATCGGGAAGGTGGGAAACACACACACATTCATCAACTTGAAACCGATCTAGAAATCTTCGTCACTCAGTCAGCATCAACAACAAACGTCAAGTCAGTCAGTTCTTCTATACAGATCAGGAACTTGGCGGGTGGGTCACAAAGAATATTTTCAAGAGCCTGTTACAGACCTTTAACAACCAACAACTGTCTTCGCTGGATCTATACTGAAGATGAGATGGCCGGGCCGGAAAGAATCACCAACGAGGAACTCTGGTAGGCAACAAACAAAGCAAGAACCAATCGCCAAACAAATATGTAGGAGAAAGTGGAGGTGGATCAGACACTCGCTGGGGAGGCTGCTGGATGACGCGGCGCATCAGGCCATTGCTCGAGTGGAGCTCGAAAGGAGAGCGGCGTGTGGGATGTCAGTGTAAGGGTGACATGGAGGAGATCGTGTGAAGAGAGAGGAGTTGAAACAGTATGGACTAACTACCATGGATGGAGGTGAAAAGTACAGCAGAAGGAAGACAGAAGTGGCAAGTGGAGGGAGACGTGCAGTTGAAGCCCTGTGTTCCACTAGGAACCCAAGGGAGCAAGAATGCAATAATAATAATTCCTTATTTCCGGTTAAGGGTGAAATTAATAAAAATAAAAATTAGGAATTAGAATGCCATAATAAACAGAAAAAACATAGAAAGCATAGAAAACTGTTTCCCACCCAGCTTCATAGACATGAATCTCAAATCTAAGAAGACTTCCGAACAAGTCCAATCCGTTTACTTGTTTTATCCATCCCCGTGTTTATTATGACATTCTAATTCCTAATTTTAATTTTCATTAATTTGACCCTTAACCGGAAATTTTTCTGGAACTTTCCCATCCATTTGATACAAATACACACGAATATACAGCCTCCTATTTGACGGTGACTTCATCGAAAAGAAAATTTTTTTCCTTGCTGCAACCGTCTTTGTTAATAACTCCTATGATCCAATGTGGATATATTCCGCAATACTTGAAGGTTAAACTTTTTTTTTTAATATTTACCTTGGTGGAGGTGGTGGAGGAGGCGGTGGAGGAGGTGGTGTCGGTGGTCGCAGGACATCTTTAGCTGCTTCCAACGCTGACTGAATAGCCACTTCTAGTTTTGTACGTTTCCTTGTCTCTACAGCTGATGAATCTGTTGGTGATGTAGAGGATTTCTGCACTGGAACAACTTCATCGGTGAATTCATTACATTGACAAGCGGGGAGTTCACTGATTTGTCTAATAATCTAAATAAAATGAAAGTAGAGATATATTGAATGATTAAAATGCAAACTGAAGAATATTCATAACTAGACAGGAACCAAAATGTATTTGGAATTGACTCGTTTGTGATTCTAACTGTTTTAATTATTTTCTGTTCTTCAAAAATGCCTATTCAAACATGAAAATAAAAGCAAATAGTTCAGGGGAACATTTGTTTTTTCAGGGAGTCTGTTCACTCCTCTGTAGAATCGCTAATATATGTGTGTAATTATTTTGTGTATGTGTATACCTAACACGAACATATTCCACAATCTTAATCTAAACTCACTCATCTTCACCCTTCCCCTAGTTACAATTTGATTTTTCATCACTATTTTCAAATATTTTTTATGATGTCATTAATACTTTAGATGCAGCTGCTGTCTTATATCATAACATTGCTTCCAGTCTAGACAAGGGGGCTAAATTTGTCCGTTGTGTCTTCCTAGACTATACATCTGCTTTTGACTCGGTCCCTACGGATATCTTATTTAATAAACTTGCTGCTAGTCAGACAGAATGTTGGGCTGTTAACTGGTTACATCCCTATTTCTCAGAAAGAAAGCAGTACACCGTGTATAAAGGGAAGTCTTCCACTTCATTGCCTACTGAAGCTGGTGTCCCTCAAGGTGCTGTTCTTTCTCCTTTTCTTTTTTCTTTCTTTCTTCTTGCATGACTTGCCTTACTCTGATGAAATAAACTTTGTGAAGTACGCTGATGATTTAACGGTTTCAATGGCTGCTAACTCCCAGCTACATTGTACCAAAATAAATAGCTTTCTATCGAGAGGCAGCAAATGGTCTGAGTCTAACGGTCTTAAACTGAATCCTTCTAAATGTCAAACTGTTAATTTCATCTTAAGATGTAAAAGACAGTTAAAAGAAGTCATCGATTCTCATGACAGTTGTAAGGTTGACGACAATAATATAGGAATCAAATCAGAAATGAAGTATCTTGGACTCATTCTCTCTTCTGATCTCTCTCTCTCATGGTCTTCCCATGTCTTAGCAATCTCCAGTAGAATATTCCGTCTGACATTTTACATTAAGAAGTTAAGACACTCGGATATAACTCAACCAAGCCCTCCACTTACGGTTCATAAACTCTTGCATCCTACCTATTCTTCTTTATTGTTCACCCCTGCTTATTCTTTCCTGGTTTGCTTAAAAAGGACTATGTCACAATTCGCAGAATACTGAAGACTGTCAGTAGGGTGAATGGTGTCCCATTGGACCACATAGTTAACGTAATTGTCGATAGGCACTTGACTTCGTGCAATAAATTTGCTAGAGGGATTTTGTCTGACTTGGAGCATCCGCTTTACCCTCAGCTTTCACCTTGCATCTCCTTCTCAGGTGGAACAAGAAGTAACTTCATAAAACTGTATGCTCGCACGTCTAAGTATAAGAAGTCTATGATACCATACTTGACAGCAAGTATTTTATGTGATGAAAATAGTGTCAGGCAAGAAGTAACTAACCTTTTTTCATCTAGTAAATAGACATGTTTTACTTTTATTACTTCTATTATATTTATGGTCCTGTTGCTTCTTTGTTTATTTTGCTTTCATAATTGCAAACACCAACTTATCTCTATGACTGCTGTAATCTTTGTTTGTCCCCTCACCGTATCATGTAAAGAGAACATTATATTCAATATTTTTAAACATTTTAGGATTTCTATACCACATTGACAATATTGTGTGGCACAAGCCAACAGCAGTTTTCACTTGTATTCTTATTATTATTACCCCTAGCTATTATCATTATTATTGCTATTTCCATTTTATATGCCGCATGTTTTTGACACTACCTCTATTGTAAATGTGGAAAATTTTCTGTGTGATTAATTTTTATTTATAATTTGAAGAAAATTAGATGCAATATTGTGTGTGATTGATGCTGAAAATTCCATTCTGTATCATAAGTACTGTTTTTGGAATAAAGTAAATCATTATTATTATTACTCCATACTAATTTTTATTCTGACGCTATGGAAACACATATAAAAATATAATTACGTATACCATTCAGCCAGTGAGACGCAATTCAGTGGTCCGTGAAGTCTAACTTCTACCAATTTGTGATGCATTTAGCGTGACCACCAAACAATGTCATCAGTAGGAAATCTATCCAGTCGGGAATGCGGATGGATTTCCTGCCGATGACATTGTTTGGTGGTCGGGCTAAATGCACCACGAATTGATAGAAGTTAGAATCTATAGGCTGTGGAGTTGGATTTCAGTGGTTAAATGGCTTACGAGCTTGCATTGTAATCAAAAGGTCTTGAATTCAAAACCGATGATTCCCAAACTAGAATGAAACAACTGTCCATTACTCTCTGGTTTTCAATGGTTCCTTCTGGTCTGGTCCGGATTCAACATAGAACTTGGCACCGAAGTGCGGCAGTTCGAGTTGCCGGGTTCCAAATAACACACAAAGGTAGACAAGAAGATGAGTGAAGAGAATCAATAGAGTTTGACAGGTATAAGAGTGAAACAGTGTGGGTGGTAATGGTAGAAAAGAATATGAAAGATTACAGAGACTGAATACATCTGCGCTGGCCATTGACAACGATTTTGAGCCATGACACCTATTGTCTCCAGCCATTGATTCCTAGAGTCAGTCCCGAGGGCCCCAACCCGGAAGTCTGCATCTCCCTACCTGACTTAGTTAAACTGTCAAGAATTTCATGGATTCATGTCATGTTTTTGTTTGGCCACCACTCACTCTTTTCCAACCTGCACCTATATCAGCTAGTAATGCCCGTCGGGGGAGGCGGTGGTTAGGCATGCGCAGTACGTGACCTAGCCATCTCAATCTAAGTAACTTTGTAGCCTCGTCGATTGATTTTCCCTCTTTGCCCAATACTCTACGCCTAACGTCAACATTACTTACCTTATTATACCATCTAACGTGAGAAACAGATCGTAAACACCTACGATCAAAAACAGTCAACCTTTTCATGTCTTCAACTCCTATTGGCCATGTTTCAGAGCCATAGAGAAGGACGGAGCAATGGTTCTTTAAATGATATCAATCCGTGGTCAAACTCTAGAAGCAAATCTAATCCTTGTAAATCAACTTTTGAAAATTACATATGCAGCTGCGTGAATTCATTCACCAAAAAAAACTCTTTGCTGAACTTTTTGTTCTTAATTCAATTATTTTCTGTACCCGAAATGTGATTTGAACTTCATCTCTATCTAGTTCTTCCTGGTTCATACTAAGTAAAGAATTGACTCTCTGAGGATATTTTCTATCCTATATTCTATGCCTGAAATGTACTCTTCAGTATATAGTGTCAGTCAGATACATTTAGTATTACAGACTATCTGAAAGGTAAACGCATAATTTATTTAATTCCCTTTTAGATTTTCCCTTCGATTGATGCTGATTGAAGTGCTCCATCTCAGATTGACATGTCGGCTTCTTGCGCAGATGTTTCGATGATGTCTGGAATTAGAAGTAATTAGAAGTTAATTGGTGGGAAGATCATCACTCACTGTGGAATGCAGGTATACCGAGATAACTAGACCAAAATGGGACGAAATGCGCATCTTGGATTCCACTGCTAGTCACCATCCACCAATTAAACGCACGGTTTGTCCTATCCTGGGCTTAGTTAGACATGCTCGCATCAGTGTTAGTGTGGTTGTCAAGATTTGAATTATGTAAACTCATCTTTACAAATGGAAGCGGATTACCTGTGTTTTCATACAGACAACTCTGGTTCTAAAGTTATTAGGTTGCCAAAAGAATTTTCAATATGCCTTGTGTTTTTTTGTCTAACAGTTTGTAAGTATCACAGGAAACATTGGAACATTCGTTAAAGGGAAACCATGTACCAGCTGTGTAAGCTTCAACTTCTTCAGCAGAATTACTTGAATTTTATCCTAATGTAATTTTACTGTTGTCGTCCCCATCTTTAAAAAGGGTCGACGTAATTCGTGTGACAATCATAGGGGTGTCAGTCTGCTACCAGTTGCGTCTAAAATATCGCTTCGCTGGCTGTGCAAAATACGTGAAGGATTGATTCGCGAAGAGCAGGCTGAGTTTCGTTCAGGTCTTGGATGCATTGATCATGTGTTCACCCTTCGTCAGTTGTTGGATTGTATTGCAGGCCAACGATCGTTGTGTTTATGACATTAGGGCTGCCTTCGATTCGTTGGACAGAATGGTGCTATGGAACTGTCTGTTAGAGAGAGGTGTACCTGAAAAATTTGTTAACATCTTGAAAACCGTATACAGGAAGACCTTGGGTAGAGTGAGGGCATACAACCAACTATCATCACTGTTCCCAACCAACAGTGTGGTTAGACAGGGTTGCCCAATCTCTCCAATTCTCTTTAACTTTGCCATCGATGACATTCTGGAGTCAGCTCTGAAGGATGTGCGTGAAGGTGGTGTAGATCTGCTACCTGGAGATAAACTTTTCGACTTCGAGTATGCAGACGATATCGTCTTACTGTGCGATAGCATGCAGGCTGCCCAAATCGCACTTAATCAGTTGGCGATCAGCGTCTGTAAGTATGGTATGTGTTTTGCTCCGTCTAAGTGCAAAGTACTGTTACAAGATTGGCAGGAGCCTGTACCTGCACTCACTCTTGCAGGTGAACCGCTAGAAGTTGTTGATAAGTTTGTGTACCTTGGTAGTTGTGTGACTGCTGGTGGAGTGGTGACGGATGAGATTTCTAATCGTATAATGAAGGCTACAGTGGCATGCATCAACTTCAGCCACCTCTGGCGCCGTCGCGACGTTAGCCTGGCTGTCAGAGGTCGGGTATACAATGCTTAGTTGCGGGCTGCGCTGCTCTACGCCTGTGAAACCTGGCCTCTCTGGGCTGAGGATGTTCGGCGACTCTGCGTGTTCGATCACCGCTGTCTCCGCTGGATTGTTTGTGTTCGATGGCATCACCGCTTGAGTAATTCTGAGGTTCGGCGGCGTGTGTTTGAACAAAGTGGAGATCACCATTCATTGAGTGTCGTCATCTGGAAACACCGGCTCAGGTGGCTTAGACATGGGCTGCGAATGTCAGCCCAGAGGCTTCCGTACAGGTCTCTGTTCGCTAGCCTGCCCTGGGATAGGATGGAAAAGGCGGAGAGGTGGTCAGTCCATAACGCGTGGCGTCGTGGGATGAAGGATTTTTGTGCTAGATTAGCATCGGTTGGTGTGTCACGACTCCCTGATGATTGGGGTCCGCGAGATAGCTCAAATCGATGGCTCGAAACGTTATCGAATATGGCCAAGAATCGTAATCAACGGCGAATGTGTTGCAATTTCCTTCTTTCTTCCCTTCCGGATGATAGTTAACGAACACTGTTTGAACTTGTTAAGCATGACTGTTTTCCTTCCAGATGAAGTTCTTCATCCGTTCTCTACTTATATATTTTTTTCTTTTGGTCTATGCTGTTTTATTATTATTGTGTGGTGCATCCTTCTTGATGCCATATTGTACCAAGTTTTCTTTTATGCGTTTAAATAAAATTAAATACTGTTATATGTTGTTTAGTTGTTCATCTGTTGACTGTAATCCGCTAGTCAAGAGATACAGTTACGATAGTTAAGTTCAAAAACCTCTTTGAAACACCCCAGATTGACAAGTAACTGTGGTTTATTTAATTAACAATTTATGTGGACTTCGTGAAGATTAATGACTTGACGCATAAACACGATTCTATTTTAATGGATAAACTATTCCCATATGGAGTCATAAGAAAAATCAGGTGTAAACAGCGAAGAAAATAAGCTGTTGTACAATTGTAATTATATTTAGTAAAGAATTCGTAAGACCTCCTAGATGCTAAGAGTGGTGACTAATTGGCAATTAAAAAAAAGGGGGAAGAATTTGGCATGTCGTAATAAGTGTAACAAAATGACTAATCACTACAGTTGTCTCGAGGGGATAAGAACTAGTTGAAAGACGATAAAGCATTTTTTATAAAATTTATATGAAAACGCAGTGTTAGTAATAAACTGTATTATTATTATTATTGTTCCCTTGGGTTCCTAGTGGAACATAAGGCTTCAGCTGCACGTCTCCACTAGCCAATTCTGTCTTCCTTCTGCTGTACTTTTCATTTGCATCCATGTTAGGCCATACCGACTGTCTCAACTCCTCTCTCTTAACACGATCTCCTCCATGTCACCCTTGCACTGACGTCATAATCGCCGCTCCCATTTCGGCCTCGTTCCACTCGAGCAATGGCCTGACTTGCGCGCGCTATGTCACCAACCGACCTCCTCAGCGAGTGTCCGATCCATCTCCACTTTCTCCTGAATATTTCTTGGGCGACTGGTTCTTGTTTTGTTTGTTTGTTCCCATAGTTTCTTGTTGGTGAATCTTTCCGGCCCGGCCATCTCATCTTCAGTATAGATCCAGCGAAGACAGTTGTTGGTTGTTAAAGGTCTGCAACAGGCTATTGGAAATATTCTTTGTGACCCACCCGCCAAGTTTCTGATCTGTATAGAAGAACTGACTGACTTGACGTTTGTATTGAAGACGCGGCCGAATTTTGTTGTTGAGGCTGACTAAGTGACGAAGATTTCCAGATTGGTTCCAAGTTGATGAATGTGTGTGTGTTTCCCACCTTCCCGATTCTCGCTCGATTTGACATCCTCGTCCGCTCCTCCTGTAGTTGAGACAATGCTCCCTAGATAAGTGAATGAAGTAGCCTCTTTTAAATCCCTCCCGTTGATAGTGATTGGCGCTGGATGTTGCTGTCGTTGTTGTTGGTTGGTTGATTATTTTCATAACCTCCGTCTTGTCTATGTTCACCTGGGGTCCTGTCTTCGCCGGCTGCTTCTTCAACCAGTTTGTCGGTTAATTTTCGCTTGTAAGTCTTCGATTTTGAGTAATAAACTGTAGTAGAGTAATAATAAAATATGGATGATGAGAATAATAATATTACCCTGTCACGGTGGGGCGAGGGAATGTATGTGGTGCTTTTGAATGCAGAGGTACTATTTCGGCTCGCGAATAGCCAATGATTCAGCTATGCAGAGATGGCGTATTCGAAGTCCTTTCATCATACAACATTGAGAGACTCTGCATAGCACTGTGAAACATTCATGCTGAGGTGTTTGATGTCCATATATGACAAGGTGTTCAAGGATCGAGCTGCTGCTATTCTTCTTCTCTCCAATGACTAACTAAGCTGGAAAATGTTTCAGGATACGTTTGTGCACTTGGCGCTACGTACGGTCAATACACTTTGCTCCAGATGAGCAATTAAACTGATAAATACACATTGAAGTGGCCAAAAGCGGTATTTTATCCTTAACATTAGACTGGATTAACTTTCTGCTGGAGAATGTGATGCGTAAGTTCGCTGATGGAAATGCCTTCTTCAGGCATTTAGAGGGACGGTTTATAAGAATTTCTGCTTCGATATCACTTTTCAACTCCAGGTTCATGAAGGCAGATTTCTTAGGAACAGTTATGATTTTTGGTGACGGAGGCTTTTTCTTCATGTTTTTGTCTATGAATCTTGGTGGATTCCGATTCTCTAGTAGAGTTTCACGTAATGAATCCAACTCCTTCCCTGTCGTGCCTTCCAAACAGAATTTCTGAATCTTTGAACATAATTTACGTACTAAATTTTGCTTTCGGATCAGTAGGATGGAGCTCTGGAAGTTGATAATCTATTCCATCCATGCTGGCTTGCGATATGCTGATCTTTGGAAACATGACATTTCCTTGTACACTCATCACCATATCGTTGAAATTTAAATTACCTGTGATATATAGTTGGCTAGAAACAATAGGTAGGATACTATGGACCAACGTTTCATAATTATTCAAACTTGTCTGGAAGGTACATCCGCAAACTAGGATCTTATATCCCTTCGGAGAAGAGAACCCATGTCATCCAGTGTTGTGGTCAGGGACGTGGTTGTCTTCAAACTCCAGGAAGTTTTCTGTAGAAACTAACCAAAAGCTTTCAAATTCATGGATTTATTGCTCCCTTGGGTTCCTAGTGGAACATAAGGCTTCAACTGCACGTCTCCATTTTCTTCTGTCTTCTGCTATACTTTTCGCCTGCATCCATGTTAATCCATATTCTTTCAACTCCTCTTCACACGATCTCCTCCGTGTCACCTTTGGACGTCCCACACGCCGCTTCCCTTTCGGGTTCCAGTCGAGGGCTTGACGTGCGATGTCACCCAGCGGTCTCCTCAGCAAGTGTCCGATCCATCTCCACTTTCTCCTGCATATTTGTTGGGCGATTGGTTCTTGGTTTGTTTGTTCCCATAATTCCTTGTTGGTGATTCTTTCCGGCCATCTGATCTGCAGTATTGAGCGAAGACAGTTGTTAAGAAAGGTCTGCAGCCTTTTTGAAATATTCTTTGTGACCCGCCCGCCAAGTTTCTGATCCGTATAGAAGAACTGACTGACTTGACGGTTGTATTGAAAATCCGACCTAATTTTGTTGTTGATGCTGACTGAGTGACGAAGATTTCCAGATTGGTTGTTTCAGGCTGATGAATGTGTTTCTCGCCTTCCCGATTCTCGATTTGACATACTCGTCCATTCCGACTGCGTGTAGTTGAGACAACGCTCCCTAGATAAGTGAGTGAATGAAGTAACCTCTTTCAAATCCCTCCCTTTGGTGGTGATTGGCATGGCGTTGGATGTTGCTGCTGTTGTTGTTGGTTGATTATTTTCACAACCTCCGTCTTGTCTATGTTCACCTGGAGTTCTGTCTTCACCGACTGCTTCTTCGACCAGTTTATCGGTCGGTTTTCGCTTGTAAGTCTTCGATTTTGTGTGACATCAAACATAAATCATCCACGCGCGAAATCCAGGTCTTCTGGGTTCTTCACGAATGACGTTGTATGCCGACATGGATATTAATGAGCGAAATAGTTAGTGAACATGTCAAGCTCCTCTCTCTTTCTCTCTCTCTCTCGCTAATCGAAATAGAATCTTTCTATAGTGGTGAAAGCTCTCTACTAGCCAAAACTGGTAGACACCAATTTACGTCAATGTTTACATCCCGGATTGGGGCGACGAGGTAAAACAATAACAAGGCTTAATCTTGAGGAACTCAACAACCAATCACAGCAGACTTAACGTGTGCAAATACGATTTGCAGATATATAGCCTGACCTTCAAAGAGACGGCCACAATGAGATGACAGAATAACCTTCAGTGAGAAAGCAACCAATCAGAAGACGCTGTTTCTCTGCTAATAAATGAAAACTAAAGGTTATCAACAGGAGATTGTGCTCTAAACGCCATTCAGCTGTTAATATTCTATCACCTTTTGTTATATTAAATATATTTATCGAATATTAAATCCATGTGTCATTTAATTGCAAGACTAATGAGCTTTCAGTTGATTAAGCTGTCATAAAGCAAGCAAATTAAATTTAAGTAACTCTCAGACCTCTAATTTTCGCTTATCGACTGTATGCAGTAATGAATGAAAATATTAGCTTCTCAGTGATGAATAACAAATGAATATTCACAAATAAAGTCGATACCATCTATAACTGTGTTGTAAATGAAGGAGGCTATATACTACTAATTGACCTATATAAGTAGTTCTGAACCACTAATAGTAGCTAGCCAAAGTGAATATATCTAAACTGTAACTTGTCTTAAAATACAGATAGGTCTAGTGCTACTTACAACTTCTAAGTAGTATAATGAGTATAAAACAAAAATGTGTTTCTACAGAATTTCAACTTACTCGTTGTTGAGTTTCTGTCATATTACTGATAACTTCAGATAAATTAGTGAGTAATTGGGTTACATCATTCAGTCTTGAGTCAACATCATTGAATCGCTGGAATTGATTGTCTATTTCTTTGAAACGTTTTTCTAACTCCATACCAATCCCCTTTATTAATAATAATAATAATAATTAAAATGGTATAAGAGTACATTTTAAAACAGCGCTAAAATTAGCAGTTGTATCAGATGAAAAGTATTATGAGTTAGTGTTACAATCACCGAGAATATATTTAATTTTGAAGTACTGGTATTCAGAAATTAGACTTCGAACCACTGAAATCCATTTAACATTGGACGGTTGTGTCATTCATTCTACATTGGGGCTTTTCAGTAGTAGGCACCTATGACTCACATAGAGATTTGGCAGGAAGGGTTCAAAAATGTTGGGTATGATTACAGATATTTGCTAGTCATATTATTTGGCGATGGAGTGCCATATCGCGATTTGAAAGAAGTCAGGACTCTTGGGCTATTGGATTGCATATCAGTGGCTTAAACTTCAAGGGACTTACTTTTTAACTTCAACATCCTTAGTTTGAACAAAAAAAATGAAAAAGTAGGTGTCAAACCGAACTAGATCCAAGGTAAATGTAAAGGTTGGGGTTGTTTTTTTGAACTCATCTCTCCTGCTTTTCGATGCACACAGTGAGGGTATCCAAAGTATAAAGACGTCTAGAACACAGTGCCTTTGGTAGATTTTTATTTACTTTGTAGATAACTCTGATCAATGAGTCAATTGAGATGCTGTGACAGGTGTTGACAAAGTGTTCGGTTATTGCCCTTCTAAATTAACCAGTGTCTCCTCTTTGTAGTCATGCTGCGTAATGTTCTACTAATAGGTCTTGATAGGACGCAAATAGAACGACCTATACACCTAGCTCTGAACGAGTAGGTAAGCTGATATATGCCCATTCCAGTAGCCTTATGTAGAAGTTTATCATTCTCACTTCTTCGAAGAAGTGGGCGGCTAGAGAATATCACGCTTAGAGTTGTTTCAGAAAAGGTCTTCTACAGGGGAGTAGATATTCTTCTCTTAAGGAAATTGTTGGCTAAATCTACCTTGTCGTCTAGATTCAAATATAATGTTTTCTTTGGCACTAAAGTTCATTCTTCTCTTTACAGTTTTGGTTTCATGTGCTTCTCCACGATACGTACCGTGTATTCATTTTGAATTAGGATATTTTTGAGTAATAATAGCTGTTCTTCTAATCTCGCCTAGACTACTAGTTTGCTAGTTTTCTAGCCCGTTCCAAGCCCGGATAAAGAGGGAGGGTTGGTGCTAGCGGGGTGCTATCAACTCCACTCCTAATTATGGTGGACTGGATTATGCGTCAGACAGCGGGATATCCTGGACCGACATGAAGAACCTACAAGACCTGGATTTCGCGCGTGGATGATTTATGTTTGATGTCACACAAAATCGAAGACTTACAAGCGAAAACCAACCGACAAACTGGTTGAAGAAGCAGCCGGCGAAGACAGGACTCCAGGTGAACATAGACAAGATGGAGGTGATGAAAATAATCAACCAACAACAACACCAGCAACATCCAGCGCCAATCACTATCAACAGGAGGGATTTGAAAGAGGTTACTTCATTCACTCACTTATCTAGGGAGCATTGTCTCAGCTACACGCAGTCGGAATGGACGAGGATGTCAAATCGAGCGAGAATCGGGAAGGTGGGAAACACACACACATTCATCAACTTGGAACCAATCTGGAAATCTTCGTTACTCAGCCAGCATCAACAACAAAATTAGGTCAGATTTTCAGGACAAATAACGTCAAGTCAGTCAGTTCTTCTGTATAGATCAGAAAGTTGGCGGGTGGGTCACAAAGAATATTTTCAACAGCCTGTTGCAGACCTTTATCAACAACTAACTGTCTTCGCTGGATCTATACTGAAGATGAGATGGCCGGACCGGAAAGATTCACCAACAAGAAACTATGGCTGGGAACAAACGAACAGAACAAGAACCAATTGCCCAACAAATATGCAGGAGAAAGTGGAGATGGATTGGACAGTTGCTGAGGAGGCCTGTTGGTGACATAGCGCGCGCAAGTCAGGCCATTGCTCGAGTGGAACGAGGCCGAAAGGGGAGTGGCGATTATGACGTCAGTGTAAGGGTGACATGGAGGAGATCGTGTGAAGAGAGAGGAGTTGAGATAGTCGGTATGGACTAAGATGGATGCAAGTGAAAAGTACAGCAGAAGGAAGACAGAATTGGCTAGTGGAGACGTGCAGCTGAAGCCTTATGTTCCACTAGGAACACAAGGGGACAATAATAATAATAGCTGTTTTTCTAAACAGACATGGCTTCAAATTCTTCTGATACAATGGGCCACTGAATTGTCATGCATTTTGTTTCCATATTGCCATATATACTGACATCCGAATACATACTAAGGATTTGATACCAAACTCAACTCCAATAGGCGATCAACTGTATTTACTAACAGAATTTGACTCGTGTAGTTGGCAGAGAAGAGCATTGTAAGCCGCGCTGTCATTTGCATCCCAGCTTATAACTGCTAAGAACCATTCTAATATTTTCCGCAGAGTAGTTTAGAATCGAGTTTTGGTGATGTCTAGTGAATATCAACTGCAACAATGTAAAGTGACTTGTTAATCGATTTTTCCAACAACCTCCCAATTCTTTTTTTGTATGTTCACGTACACTACTACCTAATAGAAAGTAGTATAAACCTTCTAGCATATTTTATTTTTATAAAACAAAATAATCGAGCAAAGAATATTCTTTTCGATAAATTCCTCTTCTGGCCCTATAATTATATACATGTTTATATACACAGAATATTCAAGGTTGGTAGTTAATAACAATACTAGTGTTTTTTTAAAATAATATGGATTTGTAAAGTATGATCAATGGAATTACATTTCACTGAAAATACTTAAATTATAATAGTAATAAAGATATAATAGCGAGTAGAATATCAACTAAAATTAGGAAATTTCCACATTAAAAACACTAATATTGTCATTAACTACCAACCTTGAATATTTTGTGTATATAAACATGTATATATATAATTGTAGAGCCGGAAGAAGAATTTATCGAAAAGGGGATAGTCTTTGCTCGATTATTTTGTATTTTATAGATATCTGAATGAATATTTTTGCTATATTTTATTTTTGGCAATTTGCTATGATTGCTCAATTTCTTCGAATGATGTCTCATTGACCACGTATACGATTTTCATTCATATGACCCATTGTTTATCATTTGATAAAACGGATCTTCATCAGCATGTCTCTTTACTTCAGATTCATGTGATTATCGAGCGTCTAGATATTCCATTCTTTATGTTTTCCTTGTTTAATGTTTGCGCGACTTTCCAGTTGAGGAAGTATCCAGTAAAATTAAGAGATAATCATGATTTCGCTTGACGTTTAGCTTATGATCATGACTGATAAGACGCCTTAATGACTGTTACCACCTTGATTTGTAGTCACGAACTATAGTGGCTGGGAGCAGTGTTCCCTCATTACCCACCATGCCACGAAGTTAGACTGGGTGGCACTTAGGGGCATTTACAAGTCACCTACGCTATGTTAGGGATATAAGCATTGCTGGCTGATAAGAAATACCGCAGATGTTATTTATGGCTATCAACAGGTTAGATATGCTGTCCTCCAACCTTCGGAGAGGAACAGCCACTAAATATCGGCTTTGAAAATTGTGGATCTTGACTCACTCACTTTTTAGTCAACTTTGCCTTTATCCAACACTAAATTTTTTGGATGTGTGCACCTCTGCACCACCTGAAGAATCTGTCCATTGTTCTGCTCAGCCACATAAAGCCAATATTTTGGGTACTTCAATGATAAAATCAACTTCCAAGACTTGGGCAAATAGAAAGTTCAGAATGAGAGGGATAGAACTACATATCTAATCTGGCCAGTAGAATGTTTTTCACAGTCAATGGAATTTGTTTTGTAGATAATGTTGGTTTTGACTTCAAATTAAGCTTTACAAATCAATCGTGTAAACAACATACGACTGTTTCTACCTTTTCTAGCCAGCTACTCGTATTTTATGAGTAGTATGTTACAGAACCTTTTGATTTTCACTAAAGCACTCGGTGATTTGAAAAGATTGAGTTGAATCTCGACTTAAAACTTCTAATTTAGACTCTTGTTTATCTGTGAAACGAGATATTCAACTTGATAGAGTTCAGAATGCAGCGATTAACGTGTCAATACCATCAGAATTCTCATGTCTTTCCACGAACAGTACCTTGTATTACTTTGTAAATTTCTCGTACCTTTGTGAATGTTCATTGCTGACGGATTTCGAAATAGCACAAAAAGGCCATTCATTATTTGGCAATGGGTTTTTAATTGACAGCAATTTGTTGAAAAGCACAGAGTTGACATCCCTGTAGTGAAAATAAAACTACAGCTAACGTTTTTCCTTCACCTATCTAGGAGGCATCGTTTCACCTACAGCCGACAGAACGGATAAATATGTCAAAACCAGAATCGGAAAGGTTAGACAGACCTTTATCACTGCAAAACATGTTTGGAAATCATTCACAATCAGCATAAAAAACGAAATTTGGATCTTCAAAACTTATATTTAATCAGTTAGTTCTTCCGTGTGGGTCAGGAGCATGCAATGTGCATCACGAACAACATTTCCAAAAAAAGCTACAGCAGTCTTTTATCAGAGGCTGCCTTAAATAAGATCAAAAAACCAGAAATAAACTCTGAGTATTAACCAATCAAGAACCTACTGCTCAACAAAGATGACGAAGAAAATGGTGATAGATCGGATACACACTAAGGACACAGTCAAATGACATTGCGCTCCAGGTCACTACTCAAGTTGAATCCAAACGGGAAACGGCCACTGACGCACATCCTTAGGTGAATAAAAGGGATGACAACATCTTTATTTTTGCGAAGTTATTCTTACCTCTGTAACACTGGACATTTCACTTTTTAAATCCATAACTGGTCCTTGACCAGGACCAACACCACCACCACCACGAAATACTACAGCTCGTGACTCAGCCACGCCTCGTTTCCCAGTAGCTTTTGTTGAAGGTTCTCTTAAGTAGTCCATTGCTTTCATATGCTCCCATTTAACCATTTCTCTTTCTTTTTTTATATCAGTAAAACGTACACCTTTTAAATGGGAATAAAACATTTAAAACAGTCAGTTAATATAAAAATCATAAGAGTGAACAATCTTGATTTCAATATCTTCTTCTTTAGCTTGCTTACAATGATAAATCTATTAATTTTTACAAATGATAAACAGTCAAGGCAAATTAAAATTACATATCAGAAAATTCGAACATAGAAAAGAACAAACACATTTGAAGGATAATACGAGTTCGTCTTATTTCGTGGATTCTATTCAACTGCCGCTCACATTCCAAATAAGTCAGTTATGTGTCACAAAATGGTGTCTGAACATACTTTTTACAATGACGCCATGCCTTATGGATAAAATGTATAAACCTTAGAATAATAAAATAAAGTAATTTTCCCTTCACGTTCCCAGCGCTGGGCTTCAAGCTAGTGACTTGAAGTTTCTGTAGCAGTGCTTAATTTTACAGGATGGGGTTGCTAGCCCCATGCCCAACCCCTCCTCTTCACCAGCTTTACTTCTGGCTGAGTGAGGTAAAGGAGTGCGCCGGCCGGGGATCGAACCCCGGACCATAAGCATGGTCGGCGAGCATCCTAACTGCTGCGCCACCGACGTACATAAACCTTAGAAACCAACTCTTAAAAATTAATCTGATACTCGCTAGTGAATTGCTAGAAGACTGAGTTTCTTAGAGTCCTAGTGAGAAGTCGTGACTAGTAAGATCCACCAAGTCAAGTGTGAGAATGGATATCTCGCGTCGATGACATTGGTTGGTGGTCAGGCTAAAAAATCACGAATTCGTACAAGTTAGAATTCATGCGGTGGCCATTAAATTAGGTCCCATTGGCTGAGTGGTATACGAGCTTGCCTTGTAACCGGAAGGTCTTAGGTTTGGACTCCAGTTGTTTGTACCGCCTATGCACCTTGTTACTATTCTATTAGTGACTAGACAACGGGTGGAGTTCACAATTCTCTTGCAAACAATCATTAACTAAGGATAAAATACAAAATAGAACACCACAATTAATTTGAAGTTATTATGATGAAGAATCCAGGAAGAGTGCTGATGGGGTGAGTAGTAAAGTAGATCAAACCAGTTTTCATCTGTCTAACGTACAAAGACAAAAATAATCCATAAGAACGGAGAACAGAATTGAAGGTGCATTGAAAAGAACATTTCCCGCCCCTAGACTCATTACACTTTACAACATAGTATGCTCTTTAACCCAGTGAAAATTAGGTAAGTATCCTGCTCTGCATGTCAATTTCAACTGCATTTACTAATTCACCTGAACTTGTGGAAGCAAATACATAAGGAAGGACTGAGAGGAGAGCGTCTACTAGATTCTCCGAGCATATCCCTAAAGTCTCCATTTTCAAGGTAGCAAATTCTTCTCTAGCGCAATCTCCAGGCTCCTGAATGACACTGGACATACAGCGCAAATTATTCAAGATTTCAAAATAATCAATACACAAGTAAAAGCATGGTTACTTCAGTTTGCGGAAACCATCACTATTACAAATGTCGACCCAACCGATGCATACAAAAACACAGTGTGACTAATCTCTCACTACTTTAGCAACTGTTCGTGTGATTTTGTCTTTTGTTCAGTTGCGTAACATTCTACTCAATCTTGATTTTGATTTTCACTCATTCACTGAGTTGAACTCACTATTAGGCTTCAGAATCTACCAAATTATATTGTCTATCTTATAATTCTACTTTACTGTCCACCAACACCCTCCATAACTCTCCACCTAAATATGGCCCTATTCAGGCAGTTAACCTGGGGTTCTAGTGGGAAGCCGTGACCAGTAGGGTACAGCAGGTCGAAGATGAGCCAGCAGTAACTCATCGAAGAAGACATTGCGAAGTGGTCGCGCTATGTCGTGAATTGGCAGAAGTTAGAATTCAAGGACCATTGGATCAGGTCCCAGTGGCTCAATGGTCTACGATCTCGCGTGCCTTGTAACCAGAAGGTCCTGGGTTCGAATCCCGGTGGGTGCGTACTGCTGAAGAGTCCCAAACTAGGACGAAACAGCTGTTCAGTACTCCCTGCTGGTTTTCCAGTGGTTCTCTAACTGATGTCAGCTCATGATTAAATCCTCCATGCAATCAAACAGAATCCCTACAAAACCAATACTTGTAAAATAAATCTGTTGTTTTATACTGTATTTCGTCTCCAGTGAATCCTTGTTCCCAAGCGAAATCTGAAATGTAGCCCCCCCCCTTGTCTAATTACCACATAAATAGTTACTCTCTTACATCATCTTAAAAATTATGTTGCTTATTCTTTCTGTGTATAACACTTGTAATTATTGTAAATAGAAAAGTATGTTCAGTCAGCAATTTGTATCATTATTATTTCCTTGCATTCCGAGTGAAACAGAAGGCTTCAACAATACATCTCCACTTTGTCCTGTTTTCTGCGCCTTCCTCTTTACCTGGATCCACGATTGACCGAACTCTCTCGTCTCTCATCCATGCCACCATCACACTGGCGACCCATTCGTTGCTTCCCACTTGGATTCCACTCGAAGGCCTAGCGTGTGATGTCTTCGGCGGCCTCTTCAATGTATACCCGATCCATCTCCACTATGTTCTACATTTTTGTTCGAGTGATCGGTTCTTGGTTGGTTTGTTCCTTTAGTTTCTGTTGTTTATGCTTTCTGGCCATTTGATCTTGAGTGTGGTGCGGAAGCGGCTGTTGATGAAAGTTTTCTGGCCACATTTCTGACACGTTTGGAAGGACTGACTTCCCACTGGTGTAATATAATATGAGATAATTGATTTATTTAGGATTTAGGCAGCAGATGAAGAAGAGAATCCACGAAATAAAATGAGCACGTATTATTTTATTTGTAGATATGTTCATATGAGAATAAAAAGGAGTTGGGTGTATGAAATATGAGAAGGTGTATTGCGGAACAAGTGCAAAGTGCAAAAACGATGGTCAGTTAGTTTTTATTCTCATTTGGTGTATGTATACGATCAACAAGAAAATGAGATAAGATCGAATGAAATATTTCAGACATTTTGGTTTCCTTTGGTGGATTTCGATAAAGAAAGAAAGATCAGATTTTTATTTCTTTTTATTTTTTTTTGATTACAGCTTGATTCCACACCGTATTTTTAGTACAAGTATGGAATTTTCAGCGTGGATATCGGTAGCCCAAAATTCACAGGCCGACCATACATATCAAGTTTGCGTCGGCGTGGGCTCGAATCCCGGACCGTGTGCATGATGGGCGAGATTCCTAACCACTGTACCATCGACGCACATATGCAGTATAAGTTATGATATCATCATTCTAATTCACAGGTTCACCTCAGCAACTGCAAACTCCCACCAATTATATTGGTTACAAATAATGACAATAATATACTTCAATGTTTGAGTGGCAGTAGGGAAAACGTCATAAAATTAACGCATCCAGAATACAGGCATCATAAGTTTTATTATTATTATTATTGTTTCCATTAGTTCCTAGAGGAAAATAGGGCGTCAGCCACACGTCTTCACTGCATTTGGCTCTCAGCCAACGTCTTTACCTGGCTCCACGTCTGCCCACTCGCTTTCATCTCCTCTTTCGCATGACTTCCTGCATGTCACCCTCGCATTGACGACCAACTCGCCGCTACCCATTCAGGTTCCACTTGAGCGATGGCCTGTCCTGTGGTGTAACTGGATGGTTTCTCAGAGTATGGTCAATCCACCTCCATTTCTTCCTGCATATTCGTCGCACAATCGATACCTGGTTGGTTCACTCCCAGCGACCTCTGTTGCTGTTCTTTCTGGCCGGCCATCTGACCTTGAGTAGTAATGAGAGAAGATAGCTGTTGGTGGAGGTCTGTAGTTTGTGTCAAAGTGCCCTTCGTGACAGGAAGGGATTACAATTTTCAGTCTAAGTAATTATATCTGCGATTCAGACTTCAGAATTTAGTGCTGAATGTCAGTGAATTGGACAGTTTATTCCTGACGAAGACTTCTCAATGAACACATTCGCTTTCAGAACTCATAACGATGATGTTGACTTATCTTAACGAGGCTTTAATTTAAATTAGTATCTCCCACAACTTAACTGCTTAAAAGACTCTCAAATAAAACGGAATACGTAAACGATTAGAATATGCCTGAACGAATTTCTAAACAATAAAAAATAGGTGTTGAACTTACAGAATGGATTATATTTAGTTGTCTCTGCATTTCTTAAACTTGCACATTGATTACCAATAGCTTTATAGGCCTCATAAAAGTGCCATACAATAATTATAGGCGGTGCAAGTGGTGATCTGTGTACATAATCATTAATCATTTGATATCTTTGATAATTCCAATAGTATGTTGAAGCACTTTCAATTTCTTCATACGTTTTACTAGATGAAGTATGTGAAACAAAAAATAATCATTTGAATTATACTACTTACATATATATAGTAGTTAAAACATAATGTCAAAAAGATTGCGTGACGCTGAGTTCATGTGAAATTCAGTCAGTTAACTCAATAAACAGTTAGTTGGGCATGAAGACAAAATGGAAGGTAATCATCAGTGAGTATTTCAGAATATACTTGTCAGTACTGGGAAGATTAGGATATGATATAGTGACCACAAGACCCTATTACTAGCTAGTTCTTATCTACTAGTGGAATAGAGGACCTCAACAGCACATCTATATTTTATACTGTTCTCTTCACTCTTATTCAGTAAGTTCAGTGAGTTTCCATGGGCAGTTATCCTCTCGTCATAGAATTCCTTCCATACCCCCCCTCGAATACACACACAACTTGTCGTTTACCACTTGGATTTCACTCGAGTGATGGCCTGGCGCGAGATATTACTTACTGGTCCCTTCATCGTATGTCATATCCATCTCCATAATATTCTGCATATTTGATGAGCAAAAATATGAGGAGATGTGGCATAGAAGTGCCCAGGGTCTATGGAAGAATATGAAATGGAAGCTAATCCTTCAAATTGTCACCAAAACCTATATGAAGCTGTTATGCAGTGGGTAACGATCTCCTCCAGGACTCCTCCTCCTAATTCTTATAATAGTCACAAAATTTAGACTATATATTTAGATAAGACAAAGGCAATCAGTGAACTGTTTGGTCAGTAACCTATTTGATAGAGCGATGAAATAAATGCTTAACACATAACCTATCTCCTTAATAATTACCCGTCTGTAAATGCACTATATATGATGTTGAGTGCTTTATTGGAGATGCCAGACATTAGTTCAGCAAGCTATACCTCATACTTTGTATAAAAATTCACATTCTGGCGACTCAGTTAACGGCATGCCTTCATAATGTAGTCGACGACTCCATCTCATAACCTAAAGGTCGAGTTTCAATCTCCCAGCGGAGTCATAGTTGAGTAATGCTGTAGCCCTGAACTAGAGTAAAACGGCTATCCAGTATTTCTTCATTCGCCTATGAGTGAGTAGTCCAGTACTAGAATGATCGACAGCCACTTAATAAATTCTTCTTCATCTGTCATCTGATGCAGTCCTTAACTACCTAGTTTATTACTTCGTATAATCCCAAGAAAAGAGAGAAGATTGAGTGTGAGGATAGCTATCTCACTCTGTGAAAGCAATATTTCTACACGGACTTCGAATGTTTGAAGTTATATGTCCCACTAGTAACATAAAGGGTTGAGAAAAAATGAGAGGAGATGTGATAATGTCTTCATGGTGAATCTTCGGGTTTGATTTTAAAAATAAAAGTCATAAGTACATCTTCTTCATTGGTTGATGTCCTTTCCGAAAATACATCACTTTATGAAGAGTATATATTGTTAACTATCCATAGTGATCATTATTATTATATTATTATTGTATCCTTAAGTTCCTAGAGCAACATAGGGCTTCAGCTGCGCACCTCCATTGCCTTCTGTTTTCTGACAACTTTTTCACCCCGCTCCAGCTCTGTTCACATGCTTTCATCTCCTCCTCGCATGACCTCCTCCAAGACACCCCACCGTGGGACGACGAACTCACCGCCTCCCTCTCGGGTTCCACTGGAGCTATGGCTTGTCTAGTGATGTCACTTGATGGTTTCCTCAGCGTATGGCCAGCCAATCCATCTCCATTTCTTGCTGCCTATTTGTTTCACAATCAGTTCCTGCTGAGTTGGTTTGCTCATTGCCAGACATCCCTGTTGCTGATCTTTTCTGGCTGGCCGTCTGATTTTGATTATTGAGCGAAGACAGCTGTTAATGAAGGTTTGAAGTTTGTTTGAGATGCTCTTTATGACTCGCTGGCCAAGCCTCTGATCCATCCGTATAGAAGCACTGACTTTACATTGGAGTTGAAAATCCGGATCTTATTTTTGATGGTGAGTAGTGCTGTTGACCTCCACACAGACTTGAGTGTAATGAAAGCTTGTCTTGCTTCTCCGACTCTGACTTTGATATCCTCGTCAATTCCGCCTGTAGTTGAAACGATGCTTCCCAGGTAGATAGGTATTTGAAGGAGGTTGTTTCTTTCAGGTTCCTCCCATTTATGCTGGCTGATTGTTGTCTGTTGTTGCTGTTGCTGTTGGTATTGGCCAGGAATCTTCATCACCACAACTGTTTTCTCTATGTTCACTTGAAGTCCTTCCTATCTTTGATGCTTCTTCTGCCAACTTGTTGCTTTTCACTTGCATATCTTCCAGTTTGTGAGAAATCAGACATATATCATCGGCAAAGTCCAGATCCTCCAAGCTTTTTGTGTGAGTCCATTTTATGCCTGTTTCCTCATTGCCCTGCCCGCTGTCTGTCGCATTATCCAATCTACTGCAATCAGGAAGGTCATTGGTGATAGTAGACAGCATTGCCTCACTCCCGTCCTCACTTCGAAGGATTCCATAAGTTTCCCGTTGTGGATTACTTGGCATGCAGCATTGTCATATAACTGTTGGATGAGATGTATAATTGTCGATGGGACCCCGTAGTAGCGAAGTAGTTGCCAAATCACCTCTGGATCGACGCTGTCGAAGGCCTTTTCAAAGTCGATGAAGTTGAGATAGAGAGGTGACTGCCATTCCAAGCTTTGTTCAATGATGATCCGTAGAGTGGCGATCTGATCAATACATGATTTGTTTCCCCTGAATCCGGCCTGTTCCGGTCGAAGTTTTTCATCCAGGTTGGCTTGTTTGATTCTCTCCAGGATGATGCGACTTAGTATCTTGCTTGGAGTGGACAGAAGCATAATTCCACGCCAGTTTTTACATTGACTTAAGTCTCCTTTCTTTGGTAGTTTGAATAAGTATCTGTTCTTCCAATCCTCGGGTACTTTGCCTCATTTTTAGGCATCTGATTTAAAAATTTGCGCTACTTTTGAAATATATATATATGTATAATTTATTAGGAAGGACTTACGAAAACATGGCAATAAGTAAGTTGAACATCAGTATATTTGTTAATAAGACATAGAATCCAAGCATAATTGGAACAAGCCAACGGGATGTTTTTGTAGGACACATATGATTCTGACATGTACGATCTATGCAGTAATGAAAAAGACAAAATTCAACATGGAGTTCACAGGGAATTAGTAAATAAACCGTTTTCGCGGAAATTACGTTATTATTTTATTTTGTGTTAGGCATTGTAGCAATAGGCAGTTAGTAGGAAGCCTTTTACCTACGTTTCGTGGCCATTGGGAGTCATTATGAAAGGCGTATCTATAACCTTGAAGGATATAATTTCCCTTCAGGCATTCGCATTCGCATCACCCAGTGCTGCAGACAGAGATGTTGGGGAGCTTTGTGAACTGTCTTACTGTCCTGATAAGCGTCAACAAGCATGAGATCTAAGTTCAGGACTTACTACCAACTGCCCTCTACCAGTGAGTCTAAGATGTTAACGATATTATTTGCAAAACAGACTCAGCAGACTAAACTGTAGGTTTTACTGGATCCCATAGGCGTATTTTTTGACAAAGTAACATAAATCAATTCCCTTCTGACCTTTATTATTTTTTGAATAAGGCATTCAGAAGACAAATTTCGCGAGATGATATCATTTCCTAGTTTCTTTACAACTGCTTTACAACTAACTTGGTTAACAATAATAAAATAAAGTTCATGAAAATTACTCAGTTAAATAAAAACAAAAGTACATACTAATGACCAATCATATTTAGATAGGTCATGCAGTCCAGAGTAGGCGAAGATTGAAGTCTATTGATTTTTCTACACACAGTTTAGGCTGTATATGATTAGTCCAAAGTGCTTCCATCACCTTCAATAACCTTGAATTAGAGTTATGTGAAATAATTGTGAAACAGTCATTAATATTTATTTTGTGACCAGACATTAATAAGTGTTTTGCAATGGATGATGCTGGATTTCTATTAAGATTAATCGCGTTAGGATTTTCGATATGATTTACTAGCCATTTTGGAATATGTTCTTTTCGACGACATTGGAACATTCTGTTAGTTCTACCTATATAGGTGTCACATGCAGCTGCAGGTGAACTTGTAGATACAGTCTGAAGTAGAGTCCACAGAATTTCGTCCTTTAATCGTATAAACAGGGATCGAAAATGTTCGGCAAGCGAGAAAAAGAGATGTGGCAGCGTAGAATGTGCGTCTGATGGCTGATCGAAGTCTTTGAGCTTTCGTCAACTGCATAATCTGGTCATCCTTGAATGGTAGGTAGGTTAATAAAGGTAGCTTTCTTTGGTACAGAAGCTGTCTTTTCGAGATGTGGTTTTTCTTTGCTGTGACAAGTGATAAAGCTTTCCGGATAACCATTAGCTAATTAAACTGAATGTATATGTTGAAACTCATCCATCAATGTGTCACTCGTGCATATTTTTCGGGCCCTTGAGAACAAACATTTTACTAGGGAACGTTTATACTCGATAGAAACAAAACTAGTAAAATGAAGATATTGTCTACTCCATGTCTGTTTACGGAAAATAGATCGCTGAATCGTTCCATCATTTCTCCTAGTCATAGTAATATCCAGGAAACCGAGTTTGTCATTCGATTCTATTTCGGAAGTCACTCGAATATTTGGATGGATATGATTAAATAGGGCAATAAAGTTTTCAATAGATTTACTATTATTACCAATAATAAGAGTATCATCTACATAAAGTTTATATAGCATAAATTCTCCAAGCATATCTTGCATTTGTTTCTCTAATTTCGACATGAATATATCTGCTAACAGGGGCCCCAGAGGGCTCCCCATAGCAACACCATCGATTTGTTTGTATGCTTTTTCTTGGAAGGTGAATCTAATATTTTCTGTAAACATTAAGATGATGTCTCTGATGTATTATTCTTATCACTCTTTTCCGTCTGTTTTGTGACTTATGTTCGAAACTAATTTTTAAGAGATTTTCCAGAAACAGAAATTAACCAGTTTATGCGCTAACTATGTATTGCAGCCTTTTATTCTACTCATGAGTGTAGACATAAATAAAAGCTATATTTTCAAATAAATATAAGCAATGTTGAAAGAGACGGTTCTAACATCTTTCTCGCCATCTGAAGGTACATGTAACTGCTTTGGACTTGACGCTCAAAGCATATGCAACTATTCAGAATTGAATCTTGATCAGAATAAACTTATACTACTTATGAGTAGCTTACAGTGTAACATTTCAGTTTTTTATTTGTAATTAATAGGCATACAAAGAGATATACATGTATGCTATTATTCCCATTATTATTATTATTATTATTTTCCTTGAGATGAGATGAGACAATCTCAAGTCGAATAAATGCAGAAATAATGCAAAAAAGCATAAATAATTCATAACATAAACAGTCATTGTCAACATACAGTTTCTACTTACCTTCGCCTTGTAGTGCATCTAAACTGAAATCACCAAACATTTGAAAATATGCAGTTGTATACATTGAAAAGATGATATCTGCGAATGTCATATGCTTTATCTCCGAGTCTATACATCAGGTGTATAATGTGGCGTGTGCATATTTCGCATCAGGGAGATGAGTGAAGCGTAGTGGGAAGCAAAATAGAATAGAAATCAAAAGCTAAGTAATGATGATGACAGCTCAGTTGAAGGTAGCATTTCTCAGCAATATTAATAAAAAAGTATATTCATGAACATGTAACAGTAATTACATGAAAATAATAAATAAATCATAAGGTGAATACTTCCCGTTTATGTCTCATCTGAAAGAAAACTGACTGTATGTCATATTAATTATTTACAAAAATGTTATCCTTGTCAGTTGAAATATTAAATGTTATTTGATTATGAATTGTCAAAACTATTTTTGTTCAAAATAAGTTCCCAGAAAAGGGAGAGAAAGACAATAACTGGAGAATACCAATCCTCTGCCTACAATTAGTGGCAGTCTAGATAGCAGAAGAAATAAAGCGAAAGCTGAAAAGTAATGGCATCACAAAGGATCTTTCCAGAAGCTCGAAGATATCAGTGGATATATACTTCGGCTTAGAAGGAGAGGAAGAATAATTACTGATTAGAAGATCAGACTATCTTGTCAGACCCTTAAAGAAGACGGAGACTTAAGTCTTTTCAAGAGCTGATGTGAAATCATGCTCCTGTCCATGAAAAGACTTTTTACTAATAGCTGCTTTCATTACATACCAAATATCAGAGATCCAGAGGAAATAGGCAAAGGGAAAAAGTATTTCGATTTGACACTAGTGACTAGTGTGATTTATCTAATCCTCTCATTAATGCAGAATGAATTCTCTCAGTCAGGTTGTAATGTGGCCGCCATTTTAGGTAGCTCGCCATCACGGTGCACACTGATTTGATGATATTACATGGTTGGAGGCAATTGGCAGTAACCCTTGCACCTAGGCTTCGTGCTAGTTGGCACTCACCAGTCAGTCAGCAAGGCTTATCTGCAATCTTGAAGGAACTCATGTCCCTTCTGAGATTCGAACCCGCGTCACCCACAGCCACTGACAGAATTCAGTCTGCACCAATGAGAGGACTAGACACATCACACTAGTTACTAGTGTCAAATCAAAATATCCACTACAGCCCTACAGGAGGGCAATCGATATCCCGAATAGCTCAGTGATAGCGGCTCTGACTGCAGCATTGGGTCACGCGGGTTCGAATCTCAGAAGGGACATGGGTTCCATCAAGATTGCAGGTACGCCTTGCTGACTGACTGGTGAGTGCCAACTAGCACGAAGCCTAGGTGCAAGGGTTACTGCCGATTGCCTCCACCCATCTAATATCAGAGGGAAACAGTGTCAGACAGTGAACCAACCACGAAGCCATAGTCTAACAAATACACAAAAGAAAATAGAGATGGATTTGACATATGCCGAGGAGACCGTTGAATGATACCAATCATTAGACGCTAGAATGGAACTCGAACAAGCGACAACGAGTTAGATGTCCAATGGTGACATGCGAGACCTCATGTGAGGGGAAACAGATACTTACAGGCAATCGTGTGGCTAGCGTAAAGGGAATGAGGAAAAGAAAGCGAGATAACGATGTGTTACTGAACAAGAATTACGATGTATTAGTAGTAAGTACTACCATGCTAATGTTTATTTCAAATCAAGAGTTTCCAATTTTAAGATCGTTTACATCTCATAGCCCGAGTATAAGCATGTAATTATTAAAAACGCCATAGAAAATCAGTCTTTAACAGGTAATTTAATGAAATGATATCGGTAATGGAATGATAAGGAGTATTTGTACATTTGAAGGGTAGAATTCTACAGCCTATAGGTTCAAATTCGTGACACTCACCGATGAAATAGTAATTCTGATCATCCAACTATTCGGAGCACAACTAACTGATGACAGTGACTTATACCAAACTATCTGACTATTAAGTGTACCTAATTTACTCCAGTAGGCGGTCGGTCACTGTCTTAAGAGTACAGATAATACCAAGAAACAAAAGCTTCAAACCGCATAAAATCATTCGCATGTTACTAAAGTAAGGGAATTGAGGTTTAAAATAAAACAAAAGACGTCGACAGTTGAGTGTGTTCGTAATTAATACACTGTTTGAAGTGTTCATCTTCTATTCTTCATGATATAAGCAGACACTTTCTAAGTGCATAATATTGTTGATGGGAGCTGATTAGTGGTCCTCAAATAAACAGATTTTAGGTCCTAGCTACTTTCCAGAAATGGTTTCACAAAGGCGATACACTTCACACTATTGAAGCTACAGCTATTGAGATAGAGAAACCGGAGCTATACGTGTACAAAAGAAAATTATTCAACCACTTCTACTATCATAATTAAAAACCTTACTGATTTCTAATGACTTGATTTTGGTTTACTAGTCTTCTTCGTAGAACTCTGATGACTGTCAGTAGGACGAGTGGCAGCTATCCCATTGGGCCATATCGTTAACATTGTCAGAGATAGGCACTTGATGTCATGTAACAAATTTGCTGATGGAATTTTGTCAGACTCTGAGAACCCACTTTACCCGCAGCTCCAACCTTGTGTCTCCTCAGGTAAAACAAGAAGACCTTTCAGAAGAATTTATGCACGTATGTCTAAGTATAAAAATTCCACTATACCATATTTAGGATGTACTTTATGTGATGAAAATGGTGTCAGGCATGAACTAACTAACCTTCTTTGCACTACTAAATAAACCATTTCTTCCACCCTTACAGTACCAAACTTTATTGTTATTGTATTTCTTATATTTATAATCCTCTCAATTTTTGTTTTTATTTATTTATTTTTATAAGTGTGAACATAATTTAAACTGTGTTAATAACTGTTAATTTTGTATTTCCCCTCACTATACTATATCAGCAGAACATTAAATTCAATACTCTTTAATAACATGCTAAAATTTCCAAATTGAATCTACAATACTGTTTCAAACAAACTCACTGTTATTACTATGATTATTATATTTAATACTCTCAATTCGTACTTCGAATAGTTTTGACTTTATGTCGTTAGCGTGGACAAATTCCTCTGGTTACTTTTGTTTTAATTTTATTTATATTTTAAGTAAATCAGATGCAAGATATTGTGACAAGTGCTGAAAATTCCCCTCTGTATTGTAAGTACTGCTTTTGGAATAAAGTAAATCATTATTATTATTATTAGCTCCTTACATAATTCCATATTTTTCTTCGGTTATATGTGCATCCAGATTACAAATCATTTATTACAGTACTCATCTTATTACGCAACTCTATTACACTTATTCAACTCCTCTAATGCACTGACTAATATTAACAACAATAAGTATGACGACAACTTGTAGTGCGCATTGAACCCTTGAACTTTTGTTTAAACTCGCTCACCCATGGTTTAAGCACACCTTCATCTTTTGAGTTTTAACTCTCCTGTACACAAGTGGTTCGCTCCCCTTTTGTGCTTTCCTTCAGCGCACTCTCCGAGCCTACCACCAATCAAGACATCAGATAAATTGTATAAACTCTTTATTTGTCAAGTTTCATATCTTATTTGCATAAAATATAACTCTGTCCTGACATACTTATCATATCAGGTCTTTTTGCTCTGATTTCGCTCGTCAATATACGTTAGTAGAGTAGTTCTAAGGGAATAAAAATGGTGAAGTTTTTGTAAGAGCTTTTATTATTGAGGTCTACCCTAAGCCGGAATAACTCTTACAAACTCATCATTTTTGTTACTATCCTATTTCATGAGAAAATAATTGTAGATAAATGTGATTGCACAGCTGGAGAGAATAAATTCTCCGTAAAGTGTCTCTTCGCTGAAATACTTGTTTTGTTTTCGTTAAACGTATACGGTATCTTCCAATTTAATTCTCTCGTTTGTGTAAAATATGCTTTGTGATACAGACAGTGCATCTACTCACTGAAATGACTTATTGTTAATACATATTGTTTAGTGGATGTCCGACAGCCCAGGTAGAAATGTACACTCACTGCCAGCATATTTGGCTTATTTGGCTCGAGGCCTTCCACAAGTTTTTTTTTTAATTTTCCCCTCATATTGTGGTGGTGTGAAACAGACAATGTGTGTCAACGGAATGCTATACTCACATGTTCCCACAATTCAATACTGCATTGGCAACGCTATACTATGTGCGTTAGAACATTGTATTTCATGTTCTTTGATGTAAACCAAAATCAGACGCTTAGTGATTGGTTAACGAATATAAACTGTGGATACATGAATATCGATTTGATTAGTGAAAAATATACTCTGATTTCCGTGTCTTGCCTTCTATTGTTACAATATAACCTTCTCCACTTCATCCTCCGACAGCCAACATATCACTTCTTATTCGGATTCTACACGATGTCTCATCAAGGTATATCTAAATTATCTCCATTTCTTTTTCAATATATTTTGGATGGACAATAAGCTGCTGGTTAGATCTCTGCTGTGCATGAGTGGTTCAGCGGTAGAACTCTCACTAACCACGCCTCAAGTGTTCCGGGCTTCGAATCTCAGTATATGTAATCCCTTATCTCGACAAGTGGGTAGGAAGCCTAGTAAAGGGGGAAGGTTGGGTGTGGGGCTAGTAACGCCATCCCGTAAAGATAGGACCAGTGCTATCGAAACTACAAAGCTATAGCTTGGAGCCCTTATTCGACCAGGAACTCAAAAGAATAAAATAAATAATTATAATAGTTCTCTGCCGGAAATTCTGTTGCTGTAACATAAAATAATCATTTGTGCAACATAGTACAGCGTGTTTGAACCTGAGTTATGTTTGCTTAATAATTATAAACGCAAAAATTAATTCATTAAAAATGCCCATTAAAATTTTCAGCTGCGTTTGTGGAGCAAGTTATACTGGCCGTTACTGTAGGAACTTGATTCTCCATGCTCGCTAGGGAACATCTACCAGTGTGGCTAAGTAAAGATGTAGTAAAAACCGTCAACAGTTCAACATCAGACCACCTGTTCCAAATCGGTCACAAAGCCATCCAAAATTGAAGAATCCTTCTCTATCATTTATC